ACACCCACACACACACACACACACACACACACACACACACACACACACACACACACGTCCCGCTACCACAGAGGATATTTTAGCAGGCACCCCCTCGCCTGCAGGTATCAATGAATCTGTTATTGGGCTGGAAAAGGAAAACCGGGTCTTGGCTGACAGCAATTGTTATGACTCCTGGAGCAGCATCACACGCACACTGCAGGTGCAAATTACACAGCTTCATTACTCATTCCTCATGGTGAAAAAAAATTGAGGCCAGCCTTTTCAGAGTAAAGCGAAAAACAGGTGTGGAAGCATGAATAAATCATTTCAAGAGTATGAGTGCACTCTCTTGCTTTTCAGCCATCTCGAAACTTCACTCATCATCGACGCAGCCCACAAATGTAATTTTGCTTTGATTCTATTCACACAAATTTGAATAAATGTTGATTCTATTGAAGAACCTGTAACATCACCACGGATTTATACCAGAATGCTTATGTGTCAACAGTGACTCTGGTTGACATGCCTCTACAACATCGAGTGAACATCGAGGACTGTCCAGATTCAGCAGGAGCAGTGTGGTTTTTGTCTCGGCCGTGGAATAGTCGAGCAATGCCACACCATCAACAGGGTCCTTGAGGATGCACGGCAGTCAATAAGCAACAATTTAAACTGTACCAATACTCACTATCATCCAAGTAATGTGAGGTTTTCATTATTATTGATTGATGTCTAACGTGTTTTGTGGACTTGGAGAAGGCATTTGACCACGTCCCTCAGGAAGTTCTTTGTGGTACCGAACCCACTGATACAGGCTGTTCGGTCCCTGTACGACTGGTGTCAGATTTTGATATGTACTGCCATCAGTAAATTGGATTCATTTCCAGTGAGGGTTGGACTCCGTCAAGGGTACCCTTTGTCACAGATTCTGTTCATCACCTTTATGGCCAGACTTTCTGGCGGCAGGTGAAGTGTTGAGGTAGCCCGGTTTGGCGGTCTCAGTATTGCATCTCTGTTTTTACAGATGGTGTGGCATTGTTGGCTTCTTCAAGCTGCCATCTACAACTCTGACTGGAGCGGTTCGCAGCTGACTGTGAAGCCCTTTGGGTGGAAAATCAGCACCTCCAAATCTGAGACCATAGTCCTCAATCAAAAGAATGGAGTGCCCTCTCCGGGCTAGGGAAAAGATCCTGCCCCAAGTGGGATGAGTCCAACCTCCCACTTTTCTGGACTGCAGCATTAGTCACGGTTGAGGGAATTATGAACAGTTCGAAATAGCAGTGAGTGTTCGCACAAAACCCTTCAGGCTTCTGCTCAGAAAGAGAAAAAAAATGACAGGAAAAGCTTTCTAGAACAACTTAACTTTATTTGTGGTGGAGGCCTTTTAAATGGTGGTGGGTGTGTGCTGACTTTCATTTAATACGACTTTGAATGATATTGGTTGATTCTGAAAAAATTGAGTGTCCACATTTCCCGCGTCAAAGTGAGCCAAAAAATAATTTATATAAAATGTGTCATTATCTGTGGGGAAAAGTGAGTAAAATGATCTATTTTTTTTTTTTTGTCAGAAAAACCTGACACTTTATCATGACTGTGTCGGTAGACTTACTTGTTTTTCCATTCACTGTAAATCTAACTCACGTGAAATGAATCACTTAGAAACACATAACTGCAAACAACCCTAAAATAATAATGCACTACACATTTACTCTCCCTTATTGGAAGCTCACCGCCCAAAGGATCCATGTGTTGACCCATAAAAAAAGGTTGTTTTTTTTTTTTTTTTTGCACATTAAACTGCAGTCTATCAATAATTTAAAACAAAACACACTTAGCTGTATTGATTGTTTGTCCCACCCCTACTCCATCAATCAATAATTCTCCACATTTTCTCCTCGTAGGCTTTTTCTAAATGTGGTAATCCAGAAGGCTGTCTGTTTTAGTTGTCCCATCAGTTCAGCTCGACTTCAACAAGAGGAGAAGACGCTGATGTTTATATCGCCAGTTTGTGTCTGGCCTCTGTTTCAGGCTGTTTTTAGCTTTCAAAGTGCTTTGCAGCCAATTTGTCACATGACTCAGCTGCTCTATTGGCAATCTCTGTCGTGAAGTCATTCATGGTCTCTGTGCGAGTGAAGTGCTCAGGGTGGGGCAAATTCAATTTAAAGGGGATTGCAAAAAGAGCGACTAAAGTGCACATTATTGCTTCATTAATAGCGATAAAGATGGTGGGAAATAGAAGATGCAAATCCAAACAAAACGTATTTCACTAATAATAAGCATATTCACTATCATCCAAGGAAAGTGAGGTTTTCATTATTATTGATTGATGTCTAACAAGCTACACTTTGCTGATCCTTTGTCCTCTTAAGAAGGAGGCAGTCCTGTCGTCATGGTAACAAGCGCAGTGGTCTTTACAAATGGCCGTGTTTATGCCCCATCAGTGTTTATCCTTCCAGGCATATGAAGCCACACACACACACGCGCACACACGCACACACGCGCACACACGCACACACACACACACTGGATCGAGACTCAAAATCTCATTTTAAACATAGAAACACTGAAAATTAAAAAACAAGACAACAACAAAAAAGAGTTGGTTCTCATTTTGACGTTATAGTCGTTTAAGTTTAGACCACAGGTGTCAAAGTCAAGGCCCGGGGACCAAATCTGGCCCGCCACATCATTTTATGTGGCCCGCGAAAGCAAATCAAGCATGTCAAGTTCCATGATGCTTGCTAAAGTCTGAACCAAAATTTCAAATTGTCATATGTAATCCACAATAACAGTCATTATTCTTGAATTCTGATTTTAAAATTAGTTATTCATCAATTTGTTATACGCTGTGTATGTAATATGTGGAGGGGATTAAACATTTATATGGGTTCCCAAAATTCATAACGGCCCTCCAAGGAAAACCGTAACTACAATGTGGCCCACGACCAAAAGGAGTTTGACACCCCTGGTTTAGACTTTGCAAAGCTTGGTAATGATGACATGCGACCAATAAACTAGTAATGCAGGGTGATGATTGACCAGAAAGGTCACCAGTCAGTGCTCAAATGCACAACATAAGATAAGTCATTCAGGTTCCACTAAGGCCAATGAACTGTCTTTAAATTGACATAAATTAATGGTTAAAATGTGAAGAATTAAAGAGTTATCAATATTGTTCCTGACAGTCTAAATTTAAATGTGATACAAATAAAATATGACTGGCACAAGACTCATCTCTCAGTTGGGTCCTCACGTGGAAAATGCCCGAATATGTTGACTTTTGTTAGGTTTGAAAGGGATATTGCATTTCCGCAAATAGTATAGACTTCTAATAGGGGTGCAATGCCTACGGGGAAGTTCTTTACTTGAATAAAGTTGTGTGCGTGCGTGCGTGTGTGTGTGTGTGTGTGTGTGTGTGTGTATACGCACACACACACACACACACACACACACACACACGCCCCTACGACCTACAAATGGGCTCAGCAGTTGAGCTTCCAATGTCAGTTTGTGAACAACCATTTGAGAAAATACAGTACGTAACCACAATACGTAAACTGGACCAAGAAGCACACAGCGTGTAAATGCGCATGCTTTGTGTGAAATGTAAATAAAGGCACAAAGTACATTGTCACATTGGGAATGTCTAGTCAAAGGTGGTTTGACTAGAATGGACTGGTGACAAGCAATAACAGTTTGGTACGGTAATATATTTTTAAGACTTACATCCTCATTGGTGGTCTGGTTGAGCGAGATCAGGTAGGTGTGGAAGCCGGTCAGGCCGACCACTGACCATAGCGTGAAGAAACACACCAGCACCTCCAGCACGGTGAGAACTTTGAGTCAAGGATATGGAAACAAATGACTTGTCCCTGACTGCTCAAACAGCATGCACAGCCAGGGACAACAAAATGGCTGATAGTTGCGTAAGATGATTAAAAGCAGCAACAGTCAACAAAACCAAGATAATTGGGGCCGAGCTTGCCAAGACTCCAGTGGACAAATGGCTATGAGTCCTGACATATCCAGATGGTGTGGCACTAAATGAAAAGATAACACTTTTCCTGGATGCATTGAATGCCTCATGAAACTTCCCTATTCAAACAACAGTAAATAAATGAATATAATACAGCCGTGTACTTTATGAATACATACAGCAGTTACATAATTAATCAGAATGAAAAATAATTTAAACAGTCACTTCAATGGCCATTGCGGTGCTTGTGCAACTGGGAGTGGCAATGAACAGCTTGAAGCCTCTTTTTGCTCAATTGTTCACTCCCGTATCTGAAGAATGTTCACTTTTTACCAAACAGCTGCTTATGGTTAAGTGAGTTGAGCTCACTACCGCCACACAGCACTCATATATCAAGTCTGCAGTCACCAGTCAAAGCAAAAAAAAAAAAAAAAAGATCGATACATAGCTTTAAAAAAAAAAAAGTAACTCTTAGGCTGAGTAACTCATGTCTCAAGGCACCAGTGTATTTTGGATGTAATTTATCATTTTGTGGCCACAAATTAACACTTTGTGTGGACATTTTACCTACATTGGAACTAAAATTTTAAAAAAATATATGTTCCCATGTCATGTTTTTTGGCTCTGCAGTATATCCACTGCAAAAAAAAAAAAAGGATATGTTCCGGGTGTTTCCTTCAAAGCACTCAAAAAGCCATCCTCCACTGAACCTGTGAACAGAGCAACACACAGAAGTGAAACTTTGTCTACACTAAACAGTGCTGATTTTGTTAGGTGGAATGAAACTATGCAATAAGGAGAAAAACAAATGTATCCTCATGTATCATTGATGTGGGGTAAAAATAAATAAATAAATAAATACATACATAAAAAAGGAAGTAGCTTGTGTGAAAAATCTGTCACATGCACATCATGCTATCCCTCAGGCCCAGCCTCAGTTGATCTTTTTTAGGTCATAACGCATGTGTTTGTCGGTAAAGCTGGCCCTTCTCGTCTTGTCGCATTCCTTCCTACTTTGATACGCCTACTCCTCCGCTCCCCTCCCCTTCCTCCTCCTCCTCCTTTGCGACAGCGGGATACTCACGCATGACCACGTGGACGATGTCAAAGGTGAAGATGTAAATGGTGAGGAGCGAGAGCGAGAGTGTGAACAAGTAGAAGTAGCGGTAGTTCCTCTTGCCCACGCAGTTGCCCACCCACGGACAGTGGTGATCAAAACGGTCTGAAGGGACACAGATCAAAACAACGGTAAAAATGTGGAATGCGTATCAACCAGTTTTTGGGCAATCAAAGGATGTCGTGGTTAAAAATACATCCAAATCAGCTGCTCCTTCAAAAGAAGGCCTCGTGCGGTGCATTCTACTGGCGGGCTATATTTACTGTTCATTTCCTTTCTCGTCTACTCTTCTGTGATTAGGAAGAGAGTCAGAAGCAAGGCAAAAATGGACAAGAGATGAAAATACACATTCACATTTGTTTATAAAGTCCATATGTGTGTGTGTTTGTGTGTGTGTTTATAATACTTTTTTCTATGACCACGCCCATAACTCAAAACACTTGCTGAGACTGTAGTTAATTTGTCCGTCTGCAATTGTGTTACTTCTGCTGGTCTCCAAATATCAATTGTTTACACCACATGTGTCAAACTCAAGGCCCAGGGGCCAGGTCAATTTATGTAACCCGTGAAAGCAAATCACGTGTGCCAACTTGCTAAGATCTGTACCAAAATGTCAAATTGTCATGTATAATAAATAACGGTGAGATTTTGCAATTATTTTGTTTCCATGTTTAACCTCACTTGAACAATAATTGAACAAACTATTTTAATCGCCCTGAATGATTTCAAAACTAGTAATCTATTAATTTGTTGTGTAGAAGTAATGCTTTCGTGGTTTCACTGTCATAACGGCCCTCCAAGGGAAGGCGTAACTCCAAATTGGCCTGCAACTAAAATGAGTTCAACACCCCTGGTTATTACAGTGTAACATCAACATGGCGTTTTGCAACATGTTTTAGCATTAAGCTATTGGACTTTCCTCAGCACAGTTATTTAGTTATTTAAATGCACAACTTCAAATGATCTTGGTTATATGCTTCGTTTGACAATTACTTGAACTGGGAGAGGCATCAGTCGTTTGCTTTTGCTGGCACCATACAGTGTTGTTAGTTATATCTCAAATTTTTACTCACAAATCAAAGCAAATAAAAGCATTCAAGCCATGGTTCGGACCTCAAAAAACTTCAAAAAGCCCTCTTGCAGAAAGTCTGCACTGCAATCATATCTTCATTGCTGAATTTCAAATCGATTGTCTGCGTCAAAATCATAAACCTTGCATTGTTCATTGCCCAAACATTCCTGTCAAGGTCGGCTCTAAAAACAATTGATGGCACAACACAGAAGCAAATGGCGCACCGGTGCTATGAAGCAAGATTAGCGTAGCAAGGAGACGGTACCAGGCACTGCGGTTTGTTGGTGATAAGCTTCATTTACCGACGCTCGGGTTTCAGCGGGTGTTGACATCCATGATGGCTTTATAGCACAGGATGAGTAGCCATTGATTCCGCTGCCAAGAAGGCTTTTATTGCAGCAAAGCTACAAGTCTGACTAAAATGAAACTCCATGGAGGGATTGACTGGGTAAAGAGAAGTGGATGATAAAGACAACAAATATCCTCATTATTACTCATACTCACTGGAGAGGCCAATTTGTGTTGTTAGCAATGTTGGTGTGTAATTAATTATGCAAGTAGTTTTGCATTTAAGTAGAAGCTGGAGCTTTCAGCTGAGGTTGTACTAATTGTCAAGATCTACGCCTTTCAAGTCACTCGTGCAAATTTTGAACTGCCGTCATGCAATAGAATTAGCATATTATGTTTTTTCTTTGGGTTTTCAATAGCTGCAGCATCAGACATTCATAATATTTAAATTCCAGTTGGGTTTGATATGAATATGCTGGGTAAAAACAGCTCTGTGAGAAATTAAAAGTTCATCAAAAGTAAAATTCATAGAGAGGTGCAGAAGATTTCATCCGAAAATAACAAGTTAGCTTCTTCATTTAAACCAGTGGCTAAACTGACCTTGGCATGACTTCTAACCAAATTATGTGCGATTGGCTGAAAACAAGGAAGTGGGAGATAAGGATGAATTTTGTGCTCATGTACTGCAAATAGACACTTTGTGTACAGATTTCAGATCTCTGAATTAGATTGGTATGTGCTAATCTGAGAACTACGAATTTAGAGCAAAAAAAAAAAATCTCGTGTAAAAGAAAAAAAAACAATTGAATGCACAATAAAATGGGCACGATATGAAAATTGAGATTGGTTAGGCTTGGATACAATAGCCGTCATTGTTGATTGTGTATTTGTGTGTTTACAAGAGGCACTCATGATTCAAGAAATAAACAGAAGCCCAATTTTCTAGCGTTTGTATGAATGATAGGGTCAGTTTGTGTTTTTGTAGATCTATTTATAAAGCTGTCATTTGAAATCACCACCGTGAAAGCAAAAAGAATGCCGAGATCACCGCTGGCTATTTTTCGCCACACTAACATCAAAATCAGTGAGTTCCACATCAATCTCTTCAACAGCAAAAATAAACCACTTCAATGAAGCGGATCAGCTGACGCTTACCAACGCAGTTGTCGCAGATGCTGCAGTGAGACGCTCGCGGCGGCCGGAAGATCTTGCACGTGTAGCAGTACTTGAGCTTGACAATCTGATTGTTGATCTCAATGTTGCGGATTCGAGGAGGCGGTCGCTGACCGCTGGGGACGTTGCCGTTGGCGGCCTCTGCGGAAATAAGTCTCCAGTTGAGACTGATGCGTGGTCCACTTGCATTAGAACTACAGTGGTACTTTGACTTACGAGACAGATTTGTTCCGTGACCAAGCTCGTAACTCAATTTACGTATATATCAAATACATTTTCCCCATTGAAATGATTTGAAATGATTTTATTTTTTAAAATAAATAAATAAATAATGCTATCTTTCAAGATCGCTGCTAAAAATGCACTTCCAAAAGCACTGACAAAACTGTCATTTTTATGTGAAGCAGGGTTGTCAGCATTTGCTCAACGGAACTAATAAAGTAACTTCCAATGGTGGTCACCTTTAAAATGAAGTCATCAAATCAGGTAATCAGTAGAGTAACTAAGTTACTTTTTTCAAGCTCACTGCGGCAAAAATTGAGTGCTCGTACCACACTTTGAAAAACGCTGCATTAGATTATGCATGTGCACCCAACATTGTGGCCGTTCTGTTTTTTGTCCTATATCGCTTTATATTTTCATCACCTGCATCCTCCACTCCCGGAGCAGGTCAATTGGAGGCAATTATCAACCTTGAGACTTGTTACAGTGGTGTAGCATCGTATCATACAGTAGCACTGAGGACAAAGCAGTCGAGGATACATTAAATGATTGAGTCACAGGAAATGTGCCACTCCCTTGAGGCAGCACAGCTCAGTCTGCGAGCCCCCAGTGGCATCGCGTATTCCAAGAGGATGCTATTCCCATACTCCATATTATCCTTCGCCCTGGGGGCCATGTGCTATCGCTAACAAAGCACCTTGGCTGGAGATTTACCAGCAGTTGCGATAGCGTAGCTGCTTGGACATTTCTGAATTGAATGGTCTTCACAAAGACAAATTTGAATGTTTTGAGGGGAGTGCTGTATTAATTACTAAAAAGGGTACGATGATTAAGAACCCTTTTCCCATGGTTTGTATGGAGGACATTTAACTATTTTAATGAACAGCCAATTTAACTTAGTAAAGCAGTTAAAATGAAAATGAGGATCGATACAGGCAGACATTAATTATCCATTCCATTAAGGAAGTGCAGAGGGAGGGCACATAAAATGCTTGCCTTGAACCATCCATTTTCAATACTGAAAGCAGCCTATTTTAAAATTGGTAAACTATCTAAATAGTAATGGGGGCCGTTTTTCTAGTTCACATTTTTGATGCCATTCCTTCAGTAGAAATTAGAAAAAAGAAACAGACAGACAGCTTCACATAAATAAATTGCCACTACGATCACTTCATGTTCTACTCTACCTCTTAAAATGGCTGAAAATGCAGGAGCTTATAATGAGAATAATTAAACCGTGTTTTGTTTTTTTTTGCCATGTGGCGAGCTGAATGAGTCACTGTGCTGATGAAGGGGGAGCGTCGGCTGCCAGCTGTCCCCCCTCAGAGGAGCAAGTGGCTCAGCCTTGCCTTTAACAGCCATCACCTATCACGAATCTCCACCCGCGACCGCTTTTGAGAAGCGAGATAGCTGCTGTAGGACGCTGTGAATCTTTAACAGAAAAAGACTGAGCAACCTCACGTGCAGGGGTTGGGGAAATTGCAGAAATATTGCGGTGTGGTTTACTTCCATGGTCATAAAAGGCAGTCAAGGGACTGAGCAACAGAATTGCTTGGAGAGATGGGGATTCGAGTTTATTTGTCGAGCATTTGTTGCTATTACTAGGCCTGTAGCAATAAAACATGTTTTAAGATGGTATATTTTACCAGAAAGCATCACGATGAATTATTGTACTGTTGATGTTTTTTATCCCACTAAATATTATAATAGACCATAATAATTCAAATCCAAATGATTTTTAAGTGTAGTTAACTTAATTTTCAAGAATATTGAAAATTGGCATTGAAATGTAAAACAATCAAGAATATATATTCGATTTTAAAAAATGTAAAGAAAGTTCTGTTCACAAAAAGTGCACTTAAATATTAACACATAAAACATCCAGCCACATATCTGTTGTGGCAGAGTACAAAGACATCTCTTATCAAAGCCTTCAGAATGTCCGCTTACACCTGTGTAGAAGGCTGCAATGACTGGAAGGGAAATCCACATTTTTAAGGGAATTTGCACTCCCTATCAAGGCTGCAGCATTCCTTGGCTGCATCTCGTTCGCTATAAAGTTGCCAAAGACAGCAACGCCAACTGTGACAGCACAAAATGCCGCACAGTCACATTTCTCTTTGCATTGTTGGGCAAAAGCATCCTTACATGCAAGCCGTCGGGAAATGGACTTTGAGATTCATTGTGTTCAGACTTTCTACACACAAATGTGATACATACCAGCTCGTTGGTGTAGGTAGGCAAACTGCGTTAATCTGTCTTGAATGCAAAATGTTTCTATTGTGGAAATTTGTTTTGGAATTTATTCCACTGATGGCATTCAACTTTGTTATTGAACAACTACAGCCGTCAGTAAACATATCCCTGTACGCTAACCCTCTCTGGTTCACCATAGTTCATTCTGTATGTGGGGTTGTGTGAGTTCCAGCTCTGACATGGGCGAGTAAGTTGACTGATGGTAGGCGAAGTGAAGCAGCGTGACTGAACAGTTTTTTGTTGGTTTTGGGAGAAAATGTAATGACATCTCATTTCAATGGGAAAGATGATTTGAGGTTTGAATGTTTGGTGTTACGATTTTAGTCAGGTCCCTGTTATAATGGAAAATGATTTGCAAATAGGCTAACGTAGTGTTTAAAACCCATATAAACTCACCGATCTCCATCTCGATAAATGTGGCCTCCTCTGGAAGAGCACGAGGAAGGACACCGGGGTCACTGAAGCTGGTCCTCAGTAGCATGGCCATGACAAAGAGGAAAAGCACAGCGGCGAAGACTGGGATGGCAGCGGACAGGTGGACAGCCAGATACGGACACCTACAGGAAAAAAAAAGGGCACGAATGGTGCATTAGACCTTTTCCTGCCATCCATAAATATAGAGTGTAAAAAGGCAGGACATCAACACACCATGCATATGGTCAACTGCTGTTCTGGTCATGAGGTCGTAAACTGGGACATCTTAATGTCAGAGCTGGGAATAAATAACATCATGCCACATTGCCCTCACAGTCTGGAGGACTGGAGACGCAGCATATAAATCACGGGGCAAAAAAAAAAAAAGAAAAAAAATCTCTGAATCAATACAAACTGCTCCAGGACCCTAGGCACCTTTGGAGCGTTCTAACAAAAGTGTGAAATAAAGTAAATCACTGTTATTACAAAGACAAAAAAACAATGAAGCGGTCTTACAGGGAATCTATTGTGGAAAATGTACTTTTTAATAGTTTTTTTTTTTTTTTAGAAATTATTGTATCTCTGGAGTGCCTGCTTGCACATCAAGCGTGAAACTAAACAACCAAATGAATCTTTTATTTGCCTCTCATTCTGAAAATGTGTCTGTGATCAAACCGTTGGAAATGTTTTCAAATTGTGATGTAACAATGGGACTAGTTTACATGACATAATCAGCTTGGCAAGGTGAATATCCAGAGCTACTTTCAAGAGGCCATGGAATTAAGCTGTCAGAAGGATTATCAGGCAGAGACATCCACATCCAACGCCCCTGCTATCATAGCAAATCCAAAAGGTAAGCAGAGCTGCATTGGTATTTGATGGTTGCACGGATTAGCATTGAATTGTGACAAAGCTCCTTTGGGAATTTTAATAACACAGAAATATGTTATTAAAATACATTGGAACTGTTTCAAATTGTCCACTAACATCAGTTCAACGCTCACAAGGAAGCCAAGGAAAAAGGAAAACATACACAGAGTTGATTGCAATCCAGTGGTGGGAAGTACACATTCTGGGAGCAAATGGTTTTGATGGTGTGTGGAGTTTAATCGGTTATTTTACTTTTACCAGTAATTATCGTATATTAGTACTTTGCTAATTTTATCCCAGCCTTTACTGCAAATTTTCTAACATCAATAGTTGCAGTGCAAAGAACTGTGATTATCTCCCAAACAACTGGAATCATTTAGCCATTATGTCACATTATTACTTCATTTCAAGCTATTGTGCCTCATCCTGTGGAAGTTGCACTGTGGAGGCTCATGAAGGAGCTTAACATTGCATGCTAGTGACAACTTTGGGAAAAGAATATGCGAGGACTTTAACGATCACACAAATAAATATCTGGCGAGACTAATAAGCATTGAAAGATTCCATAAAATTCTTCTTGCGACACAAGAAGATGCTCCGCAATCCACAACATCATTTGGGGGCTTTAAAAGACTGGACTGTTTGTTTGTTTCACTGTGTACTATCACATTAGAAATAAATGATTTTTTTCATTCATTCCTATTCCCAACTATTTGCCAGTCAAATGTGAAGTCTTCGAACCCTCAACCTGGGGTCTAAGACAAGGTGGAGGGAGGATTTCGAAAACGCTGTCAGTGTTAGCACAAAACCTTTCGGCTTCTGCTAGAAAACAACCACAGAAATGTCAGGAAAGGCCTACTAGAACATTTTGACTTTGTTTGGGGTTAATCAAGGGCACTTTAAAGGGAACACAGCAAAATTTCCCTTTGAGGTTTGTGCAAAGTCATTTCATTATTTCGGTTATTTACTTTTACATCATCTCTGGTAAGACTAAAAAAAACTTTTCAATTGAGTTGTGCAGGTTAAAGTTCACATTACAGGTGGAAAAAAAAAGCTTTGAAATGATTTCTTTTATTCTCATTGTTTTAAACCTGATAAACCTGGCATTTCAACAAGGGTGCGTAGACTTTTTAAAATCACTGCATATTGCAGATATTCACCAATTCCATGTGGGCCTGAAATGTATTCCCTGCGATAAACACGGGTTTACTGTAAATAAATAAAAGGGCGTGAAACAAGCTGAAAGTCAGTAAACCACAACCAAAAAGCAAAGTCCACCAGTTTGTGCTGGCAGACAGTACACACACCTGCGGAACTGGTCTGATCTGTCTCTATTTTCCCACAATAGGAAACAAAAAGCAGAGTTCAAGTCATTTCCTCTGGACCGAGCATCTAAATGACACATGGGTTGTTTGTCAGAGCAGCTCACTGATGAAGTGTAATGCCCATAGTTGACTGGTGGCTATTTGAGTCACACATTATCATTGATTCCCATCAAGGCCGCACTTCCTGCCTGGATGCGAGCGCTTCCTGGGCAGCCGAAGAGCAGGCTGTCGATGCTATGGTGACACTGTGAGGTCATCACTCACCGAATGAGCAGGGGGAAAAAAAAAAAAACGAACTTAATCACCCGGTCAATACCTGAGGGGGGATGATTTCATCTACAAGGCCTATTGATCTGGTCACCAGTGAATCTTCTTCCTCACCCATCTTACTGGGGCTTTGTTTGTGCCTCTTGCGCAAAGTTGGATGTATTCTACCAATTTATTCAAGTGCAAACCAAATAATTGTATCCACTCTCAAATGCCATTGGGCGTGTCCGCTGAATACAGCAAAACCACGTCCTGCTCAACTGTCAACTAAATAGCATTTCCATATCCTGGATAAATGGATGCTGTTTTGCCCAACATCCTTGTAATGCCTCCTCATGACTTCTGGCTGGAATATAACAATGAGGCACTCTAAAGCCACCACGATTGCCCCAGCCCAGCTGCATGTGACAGTCGAACTGGATAACCTGATCCAAATCAAGGCACTGAAATTTCTTGCTACTAATTATTATCTACTAGTAAAACATGTGGGTGTCAAACTGCTTTGACTTGCTACATAATTGGAATATAACAATGAGGCACTCTAAAGCCACCACGACTGCCCCAGCCCAACTGCACGTCACAGTCGAACCGGATAACCTGATCCAAACCAAGGCACTGAAGTTTCTTGCTACTAATTATTGTCTAAAAGTAAAACATGTGCTTGTCACACTGCTTTGACTTGCTACTTATTATGTGGTGCTTGGATTACACACACACATATGGAGCTAGTGTTACTTATTTGAAACTTTGGTGAAGGGCCTATTCTCCATATCTTTATAGCTACCATATAATCTTGGAGTAATGTTTTGAACTTTGCATATGATTTGTATGACGTAATAATGTATTGTTAGGTAATGGCCAACACTTTGCTGAAAATCCTGGAATCAGCTGTTTATATTGCAGCCAATAAAGCTATAAAGGACACATAGATGCTCCTTCCTTTCACGTGTTTGACTGATTGTGGTTAGGGTGTATATACCAAGGACTTTAATCACATGGTTCTCCTTGCAAACAATACAAAAATGAAAAAATCCCCACTCAAAATAAGGTAAGGCATAAGTAATTAAGACCACTCACTGAAGCAAGGTTTAAAACACATTGTCATACCGCAGTGACTCATAAACCTTTATTACTACTTCACCATTACAAGCTGTGCCTGCCTTGCCGGAGTCATGCAATGTGATACATAATGCAACTGGCAATGCCGGGACACGGGCTGCGAGTTTGACACAACAGCGTCACATAAACATTTGTACACTCTGACTGCCTGCTTCTTTTCTAGGGCAGAGGCTGGAATAAAACAGGAAGGGGGGGAAAAATAACTACTGTCCTTTTGCGAATGCACCTTGGTAAATATGTGATGAGAGTGGAGCTTTGTGTACTCACAGCAGCTAAAACCTCACACAACCTTTGTTAGTTCATTTGAACGTCCCCTTCAAAACTACAAATAGCTCTTGTGAAGCATTAATGAATATCCGTCGTTTGTTAGCTTGAACCCTTGAATAGTCACTACGCTGAACAAAACATGCAGCGAAGACTGCGTAACTTCATATAACAAGCAGAATTAAACTTCGCTCCGACGCGAAAGACAAATATATTGGAACAGTCAAAATACATGAATGTCACGTTAACGTACTTCCTTAACACCAATTACTACTTTCCTATTTCTCAGGGCTTTAGCGGCATCTTGTGGCATCTTAGAGGGTTTGCAGTTAACAGTTGAGGAGAGGTTCCACAGAAAAGCAATTGCAAATACATTTCCTTGATTGATAATAACTATTTCACTGTTTGTTGATTTATTTATTGATTAATTTATTGAAGCTGGACTTGTCATAGCTGATGTCATAGTTGTTCTATTGGCCAGCGGTCTCAAACATTTTTTTTTTCCATGCCATGGACCTGTTCTTGGTCCGCCCGATGTTTTGTTCGCAGACCACCACACAGCCGAAGGGGCAGATGAACATTCTCGCCCAGGTGATAGCAAACATTTTGTGACAGAATGTACTATACTGTATATGCTCTTCTAAAACCATTAGACTGGCAAACACTCGTCTGGTGGGGTACTGATGGACACTCCCGGTCACAAAACGTGTTCCTCTCCAATAATGATTTTATGTTTTTTTTTTTATTTTTAATCTGTGCAGCCGGGTACCAAGCGGCCCTCGGATCGTTGGTTGGGCACCGCTGCTTTAAGGTTATTGCACTCCAATTGACCTCAAATGCTTCCAGACATAATTAATTAGCCTCCATTTCCCCAAAATAATCAGAATCGATGACTGTACACGTCCCTTGTGTAGAACTGCAGCGCCTCAAAGCCCAGCATTATCTGTGGTGAAAATACAGCATGCAGCTGTTGTATTTGATCGCAAAAGATATGGGCTGAATAAAGTGGCTATGTTCATTGCTCTTTGGAACTATTCAAAGACTGCGCAAATACCTGCATAACAGTGGTTAGGCTTATGAAATGATAATACTGTTTTCATCAGAGTTGTAGCCAGGCTTTTTGTGAGCTCAGGTGTAAAAGTAGCACAAGCAATGCAGAACAAACCAATGATGTGAACGTCAAACTGGCAGTTCATCCATCTAGCAAATATCTTGGTTTGAAGGCGCCCTTCATAACTCTTTGAAAAACTAATCCAGAGGATGTGAAAGTGCGTAGTCTTAAACTAGAGAGGATACAATCTGTTCTCCCGGTTTAAATCCGTCCTGCTGGTTATGCAACGTTTAAATACCATATGAGAGCGAAAATACATGCGAGGTAGGGTCACTGGTATTTTTCTAGGATTAAAGATAGGATTAGAGTGGTTGCATCAAAAGAATAATGATCAGTTAATATGACCAACATTGAAAAAAAAAACAGTATGTGTTCTTTTCGGTGCAGAAAGCTGCTCAATTTATCTGGCATCCCTTTAAGAGAAAAAAAAAATCGATACAAATGTAGTGAAAAAAATACAAATGAAACCTTAAAAGGAAACCAGTGACAAAGCCTGCAAATGTGTGTCAGATAAATGGAGCATGGACTCTGAAGGGGGCATTAATCAAGTTCTTGCTAAATTAGCTAAACCCAGCCACCACTTTCCTATTGGCCAGCAGTGAGACAGGGTGCGGCTGGATGCTGAGGGAAGCTCCGGTGTCTGTTACAAGATCCGCAGCCTCTCTGCAGGCTCAGCTCTAAATGCCGCCTCCTCATCCACCTCCTCCTCCTCTTCTTCTTCTTCTTCTTCTTCTTCCTCATGCAACACACCCTGAGTAGACAGCCGGACACAACGAGAGGTTCCGCCCGGTGACATGCACACATGCAAGTGACCACAGAAAAAGAATGGATATCCTCGCAAATGCTCTGACATCCTGGGGCGGACAGACATATGACACTCTCCTCATGCTACCATTGCTTGATCCTTCTGCCAAGAACTGTATGTGGTCATCAACATGCTTTACTCTCCTTTTTAATCGAGCATGGACTTGCGTGAACTTTATAGTCAGTGTGATGTTTAGGCGTAACACAGACACACACACACACGCGCACACGCACACGTGCGCACACACACAAACACACACACACACACACACACACACACACACACACACGCACACGCACACGCACACGCACACGCACACACGCGCGCACAAATGTCCAAGCAGATCAAGTGAGGATTCACTTGGCATAAAAAGAAATAACAATCATAATAATAAGGTTGATAACTAGGAATGAACAGTAGTATGTTTGATTTTTGGAAAAATTTTACTGCAACAGCTAAATAATGCAAGCACAGACACAAATATGCAGTGCTTCATGTGCGAATACTGAGCAAGATTTTATGACGTGATTTATGACTTGACTCAAATTGATTGAAATTTAATGGGACTCAACACATTAAATTTTGACATATTCACCTCATTTTTGCCATAGTAGCTTGGGACAGGCTTGAAAATGTCTGATTCGTGACTTATGCTTTACACATACATTGGTTCCTTGACAAACGTGTTTCACTCATTTCATGACCGTGCTAGAAATTCTTGTCTTCCTTTTGTCCATTGACATGAATGGAAATGCCATTCATCTGTTGCAGCCACACACTGTGCTCCATCTGGTATGAATGCCTAGGCCACCAGCAAGGCGCTATAATGCAGAGGAGTTTGACAACTAAGTGACTCAGTAAGCTGACGTGATAATAATAGTTTCTGACAGAATATAAGATTGTGTGTATTGTTAGATTGTCTGTCTAGATTTGTTACTGCACCGTTTGTGTTCCAAAACTGAGGACCACCTGAAAAATGTATACCAAGCCAGTGACTGGTGATGTCACTTTTCAAGAAAACACTACAAACAGACGTAACAACTATTGTCTTCGCAGGGCTTTTCCAAAATTATTTTCAATACCGTTCATTGGTGTATGTGTTTCCTGGACACAATATACTGTATTTTGAGAAGTAATGTGGGGTTTAATGGAGGTCACTGAAGGCGTAATGGTTCATTCATTCATCTGGCCATTGTTGTTTTGGTTATGTACACGTGAGACTACCATTTTTAAAGTTGAAACAAAAATTGTTAAATAATGTTCACTCTGAGGTTGCCAAAGTGTAAATAAAAGTAGATGTTTTCAGCACAGTACAATGGTTTCATTTAAATGGCAAAATAGAGATCAATTTTTCAAGTACGAATTGCATTTTATTTACGTCAGAGATCTGAAATTTGAGACCATCGCAGTTCCTTGGAACACAGCATCAGTAATCTTCCAAAGAGAAGGATCAACATAATGCCAGAGGGTATAAAACTAACAGTTTAAGCCCACAAGAGCTGCAAAGAAATCAATTCATCCCAGAAAGCAAACAAACAACCTGGACACACATTCTCGTTTTGGCTATCTGTTGCAAATAGCTCGATTCATCTTGTGTACCCAGTCTTCTGTTTCCACAATTTAACACTAACTAATGGAAGGATAAAAGAAGGTTCCCTAAAAAAAAAAAAAAAAAAAAAAAAAAAAAAACGTGCCCTAAAGCTGCAAACAAAAGAGAGATGTCGGCTCGCCTGAAGTTGGATCAAAGCCAGTCAGGAGGACACTGTCTGCTCTGTTCTTCTGTCCTTAGCCCCGTGGGGCTCTGGGCTCAATTTTGCACATAATATGGTGATTTGGTGAACTCTATGACATGAAAAAAAAAGAATAGAAAAAAAAACTTGAATGATCACATTCTATTCAATATAAATACGGTGGTGCCTTGAGATACGAGTGACCCAACTTACAAGTTATTTTTTAGATACGACCCATGATTCAACTGACAATTTTGAGTTGACTTATAAGATAATGCCTTTAGCCCACTATCTTAATGCTAATGCTAACACATGATGGGAAACGCATAAATAACCCTTTAAAGCAACTGATATTTGAACACAAACAGTGGCGCAACACATTTAAAATTTCACTTTCCTGTAAGAGTACTCAAGGCCAAATATTCTTTATCCTCTGCAAGGAGTTGAGAGGAGATGAGGCATCTATACTGTACAGAAATCCATTTACAAAGTACAGTATATCCATCTGTCGAATTTATACAGCCACAACGGTGCCAAGGCAGGCAAAAGCACAATCACCAAGTGACAAAAACCTTCTTTTAATTGTATTTAATTGTGACATTAATGTTTGTTAAGCCCAACAAAGCACAACATTACATAGCGCTATTTATTTTAATTAAGATAACACATTACAAAAGCTTGTGTTGTTTTTTTTGGGAAGGCTGGAACAGATTCATGGCATTTTCACTCATTTCAAAGGGGAAAGACGATTTGAGATTCGAGTGAGCAGAACTAACGGATCTCATATCTTGAGGCACCACTGTAAGCTCTTTTGCTGACACGTTAGGCCTCGGGGTATTTTCGTGCAAATATCTTTGCATGTGGTCTACTGATGACTTTAGTAATTACACCCAGGTCTCAGCCTTAATATGTATCCCTCCATCAGAGATAATTAAGCTGGGCTGTAATATGAACGTAGCACACTAACAACCCTCCAGCCATTAGTATGGGCAGAGCCTTGCCCAGTCTAAGTGGGCACCATCATCCTCATCATCTCGTTTCTTTGCACGCAACAGATCCTTATGCCCACACTCCAAAAAAATAAAAAAAGGCAAGGGGCACTCAAGACCAGAGAAGAATGAGATGGGCAGGTCCCAAATGCGCAAACAAACATTCACTCAAAGACCCAATAGACCATTTGTGTGGTATAGAAGAGTCCAACTGTGACATTGCTCTTCTGTTAAAAAAATAAAAATGAAAAAATACCTGAGGGGGTTCAAGTGTACAAGCGGAAGACGCCCCATTGGCCAATTTTGTTGAATATCTGGATTCAATAAAGAATTGCCTCCTTTTCAGATTCAATGCTACACCGTTAGGCTTTCTTGTACTGTGTTTAAACCAATCAGCCATATTTGTGAAATACAATAATCCTGTTTCAAATGATCCAACAACCGAACCCAATCCACGATATTTGTAGAGTCTGAGACACTGCTCTTCTTTTCAAAAACCTCCTGACAGGGTTAACATTTGTTTGCAGAATGCAGTATAACAATCCAGTTGGGCTACTGGTCTTGTTTTCAAAAACAATTTGACAGGCCTGTGGTTTCCACTTTGTCAGTTTCATCTACAGTAAAAATCAAAAGATCGAATTAGTCTTTCTGCTTAAAAAAAACAACTTGGACAGCGAGTTTACATATTTTGTCTCATTCTTTTTTCAATGTGAATGCAACTGATACACCACTCATCTTTTTAAAAGCAACATGACAGTTTTCCTTCGGCTATGTTTGAAGAATAGATGATTCCACCATCTTGGGAGGAAGAGAAAACATTAAAATAAAGGCCAGACTTTCTGTCTCACAGGAAAGCAATTAAATATTTAACACCTCAATGAGAGTGGTCAGGCATGAACCTTCAGAAAGACTGAATATGTTGGACATGCACAACATATCTACTGCTAGCTCATCAATTTTGTTGATAAAAACGAAGAACCCAAGAATTACTGTAAATTAAGAGAAACATTGTAACATCTTGTGGACAAAGCATTTCAGGGAGGAAAAAATGTGGTTAACACACCCCACGTTGCAGGATAATCTATCAGAGACATCTTCAAACAATTTTGATAAGAATTAACAAATACGATTATCGGCCCAGACCGTTTTCCAAGCAGATGACGGAGGGCAAAAATTCACAAGAAAACCTTCCAAAGGACATGAATCCTTGACTAAAATGCTAAAATTAGGCCCAATTGGCAGTGTGTGTGTGTACCCTGCTTTCGGGTTGTTCTCGGGTTAGACAAACGTGCAAAAAGTATGGTCTATTTTGGTGTAAAAATGGCAAACATTTGTTGATCTAAGTGAAGCCTATAATTGCTTGTTTGTGTAGGAGGCCAAATTGAATAACTTTGGTGTTGCAGAGATTTGTCAGAGAAATTGAGACAGAAGTAACCTAATTAACCACTTACTTGTCTTCTGTCTGGAATTTCTGGATTGAATTTGTGGGTTGGGAGGGGTAGTAAAAATGTATTTCTCAGAACATTAAACTTTGGATTCCTTTCAATTCACTATTGACTGGAACATTGTGGATGTTTGGGAGAATTCTACAGCCAATAAAGTAAGTGTAGGGCGGTTATTAAAATGACATCGGACTTACTCGAAGCCGAAGAAGAGGGCGCACGTCCCAATGATGAGGAAGAGGGTCAGGTAAAAGACTCCCTTCTGCCGGGCCATCATCACTCGTCCATCGCAGCAGAAAGTGTTCTTGCCCGGCAGCTTCTCCCATTTCCGCACCTTCCTGCTTATCATCACCGCCGACATGACGATCACACTTCAACTATATTTTTTAAAAATGCAGATGTTATTCACTGAGCAACGTGACACATCTCTGCATGTTCTCGAATAAAAAACGAGAGAGCGAGAGAGAAGCGTTGCAGTCACATTGTCATCAGCAGTCTTGATTTTCTCTTTGCGCTCCTCTTCTGCGGCAACTCATTCCCACGACGACGCGAAGACAACCTCGGCTCCTTCACGCCCTTGCTGGAAGAAATTACACATTCATCCACGGGCGCTCGCTGCAGATGTTTCCCCCGCCTCTCCACAAATAATAAATCCACCCCGTGGAGGAGCGAACCTTGACCCAGCTCAGTTGTCAACGCTTGACCAGGCAAGCGACTTCACATCGATAAAATAAAATGTAAAAAGAGCCTCAATCGCCAATAAACGATCACTATCTGCTCATCAACAAATGAGATGAAATACTTCAAATGTACACATAAGGAGACCGAAAATGGCTGCTTTAGTGTGCGCTTATCCACCCGCAGGATGCCAGATTCCCCGTTTGAGTCAATGGCAGCAGGAAACACGCCTAGATTCAAGTGTCTCCCCTTAAAGGGCCAGCATAATAGATATACTGTATAAAATGCACCACTGCAATAGGTACACCTGCATCAACTACTCTAACGTGCCCACCTTTATTGAACCAAGGCACATATTTTAAGTGAGGAAAAAAATTGTGACGTGGCTATATGCGTAATTGCAGAATTGCAAGACATTTTTCTGGCCCCACCATAAAATTTAAAATAATCTATACAGAAAATTCAGAAAGATGCAATTGTCAAAATTATTGTTCTCCTGACACGAGATTTAACTGCAGCAAGTAATTCCAAATATTACTTGGTGGCTTTTCTTCTTTTGTTCCTCTCTCTTGATGAGCAACTTAAATATCAAATATAATGTTTATGTTTTAAATTAGCTTTTTGGTGGGGGGTGTGATTTTGCTGATTTGTTTTCCTCATTTTTGTTTTATCACAGCCCAGACAAATTTTAAATTGTTGTTATTATGCTCAGAAATTGTCTCTCAACATGGCAACCATATTACTGAAAACCTTTTTGGCCAATGACCGCAGTGGTTCTCAAACTTTTTACACCTCAAAAAATAATAAACGATCCAAGGATAACCACAATGACCAACATTAAAATACAGCAACGTTGTCGGCCCAAGAGTTAATCAAAAACGATACAGAAGTGTTATTTCATTCTCTCTCTCCATCCATCCATTTTTCCGAACCGCTTTATCCTCACTAGGGTCGCGGGGGTGCTGGAGCCTATCCCAGCTGTCTTCGGGCAGTAGGCGAGGGACACCCTGAACCGGTTGCCAGCCAATCACAGGGCACACAGAGACAAACAACCATCCACGCTCACACTCACACCTAGGGAAAATTTTAGAGTGTTCAATCAGCCTGCCATGCATGGTTTTGGAATGTGGGAGGAAACCGGAGTACCCGGAGAAAACTCACGCAGGCCCGCATTTTTAAAAATATTGAATGAGAAAAAATGAGAAAAAAGATATTTAATTGTTTGAAGATAAAAATGAAATCAAACACAACTATCAAGAGGAAAAATCCTATTCAAAATGCTATTAATACACACTTTAGTGCTCCACTGTCATACTTAGTATGACAGTGGGCAAACTTTTTGGCTCAGGGGCCACATTGATTTCTAAATTTGAGAGGTGGGCCGGCACAAGATACGGTACATATAAAAAATTTCATCTGTTGACATCCCATACCAAACATCGACAGAACAAAAGCATTACAGTGTTAACATACTTTTTAAAATGAGAGGAGTGAAACAGCTACGGTGTATGTCCTGTATGAACGTCCAAGTATGTTAACAACACACATGTGTGACAACACAAGCAACAAAGTGCAACAATATATTGCCCAAAAACTGTTTATAACACAAAAACTGCAGCATACAATACATGTATATAAAAATACAAATTATAAGAAAGTTAGGAGGATTTGCTACAAAATGAGATGAGTAACAGACCCTAGTGGCTTTTCCTTCCACTCACTCATTGCCTCGAGCTTTACCTCCCCCCCAATCACCACACATGACAGGATTGTTCAGCTGATGTCGTGCAACTTTTGAAGCCAGCCACGGGACACTTCGAAGCCTTCGATGCTCATAGTTAGCCCTTTGGAACTCGCCTCATCTCTTTTTAGCAGTCCAGTTTGCAAAATGTTTTTAACATGACATCAGTCAAACCATTCCAGGAAATGTTCATCGACTCGACCGTCCGTCGAGTCGCAAGCAATTCACTCCGAGCAGGGAAATTGCCAGAATCGGACTGAGCAAGAATTACTTCCTTGTTTTTCAAAGTCTCGTAAATTTGAGTCTTTCCGACTCCAAGCGTCTCCTGAATGTTTCATACTTTGTAACCCGCTTCATTTAATCAGATGCATATCACTTTCTTTCCCGCGATCATTACTGTTCATCTTTGTTTGGATGCCATGGTCAACAGGGCGTAAATGTAAATGAATGAAATTAAAATTCCAGTAAAACTTACTGCAATCAAGAGTCACTTGCACGTCGCCGTTTTGGATCCAATTATAGAAAATAGCGGCGGCGCAGACACACTTATTCCGTCGTATCGAGCGGGAGTTGCTGCAGTTTGCGCTACTGCGGGCTTCCAAAATTTGCGTTGTTATGAATCGATCATTGATGTAATACAGTCGTAGAAAGTTTAATGCATACGTTTTTTTTTTTTTTTACCGGGTTCGGGACGTTGTTTATTGAAGAATTGAACAAAAAGAGGTCTGCTGGTGGTAGAGGATTTCTCCCTATCTCTTTGTCTCCCTCTCCCTCCATGTGCTCTGCAATTTCAAGTAACTGCGCCACCTGGCATTGAAATACCTGTCATTAGAAGTCCAAATGAAATGAATGCAATCATTCACATCGAACCTTAATCGTGTAACAACCTTCGGCGGGCCGGGATAAAAAGACCAATGGGCCGGATCCGGCCCGCGGGCCGTAGTTTGCCCATCCTGCTGTAGCCGCTGCCTAAAGCACGCAAAATGATGGGGTCGGGGTTTAATTCCTGATTTTTTCTTAATCAATATTATTGAGTGCAATTTGTATTGAGATTGATTGAACGTCTGTGGCGATATATATTGATATTGAATTATTGCCCATACCTAGGTAATATGCAAATAAACAGCAGCAAGTAGCCTAATTCTAAAAATACTGAAACCATACCAATGGGGATAAAGTAATTAAAAAGGAAGTTAATAATTAGTTATTGTAAGAATGAAGTTAATGTTTAATGTAAGTCAATATCATGAGAAATGGGAATGTGTGATGTCATAAATGTGTGCATATCAATACACTTCTTTTTAAAGCAATATATAATGCGCATTTAGGTCAGAGGAAAGTATGCAATATTTGTGAAGTTGCTCAGTGTCACTGACCTCCGCAGAGGTTAGCCGATTTGCCACATCTATCGGCAAAGTATGCGCAACTCGTTCAATTTTTTGCATCTAAATTTATCGGCTGATTCATACTGAATTAACAAAGATCATACATAAGTTATTCTCATGTAGCATTAGCCGTAAAATTAACAAACATATTACTGTTGTTGCTGTACAGTTCTCACTAGTCCGTCGTTTTCAACCGTCCGCCTGGAAACAAGCACTGGTGTGTCCCTATTTTCTGCTCCAAGTGTGTTTACGATTTTTGTATGTGTCATTTTTTTATGTTGTAAGGGTAAATTTATTTTGCTTATGTTTTTTTGTCTTGGAAATGGAAGAGGTGCCTTGCCTGCGTGTGTCTCAATGCCGTGCACAGAAATTAAGGTAAACTACAGTAAAAGAATGGCTTGACGTTGTTAACGGTTAGCATGACCAAATGAGCGATCAGTTTGCCTTAAGGACTGAGGTAAACGTTGTTGTTGTTGTTGTTTTTGTTTAACTATTTGGCGTCCCATAATGGTAAAATTATGTATGTGTATTATACACAGGGAAAACCTCCAGTCCCAAGATTTCCTGGACCGAAGTTTATGTATCATGAAAGAGCCGACTGGGACCGTCCTTGTGCCAATTTTACATTCATGTTTACTGCAAAATGAGCTTACCTTTCTCAAAGATGTGACAGTTGTTTGGTGCAAGGTAATAAACACTCATTTTATTAACGCAATGCAATTAGAATACAGTTCTAACTTGGCCTTTCATCGTCCACAGCTTTCTATGCTTTCCAAGAAGGGAAGAGACAGGAGGAGGGGTGACAAGCTTGAAGATGTCCTGCAGGAGTTGTTGGAATCTCATGGAGAAAGTTGGACGAAGGAGGTGAAGGATGATCTCCCTCGGAGCTTCCAGCGACATGGAGATTTAGTCCTGCTGGGGCAAAACTGTTTCTCCCTACCTTTATGGAAGAAAATGGGTAATATTGCCAGATTCCAGTGTTCTTATATATTTCAGTGAGCACCAGTTGGATTACAATCGTTTTTTCTTCTGTTTATTTTAGATCAACAGCTATGGCCCACAGTAGCCAAAGGCTTAGGAGCCAAACGACTGGCGAGGATGAGCCGAATATCCAGCGACGGCTTCCGATCTCCTCAAGTGACTGTGCTCCTCGGAGAGCACAACTGGGTCAAACATGTAGACAATGGCATTACGTGAGTGTCCTTGAGGATCAACTTATTTACGCCTGTTGGTTACTTGTGGGGTGTATGTATGCTCAGCACCAAGAATATTAGGCCCACCCTCACAATGTAATGGCATTCAATACAAGCCACCATACAGTATCCCTAAAGTCTGGACACATGAATGTGGAGTTATTGCATCAAGTTCGGATGACTCTTGCAAAGCATATCGACCTTTGTGTGCCCAATGTGGGAAATTATTTTAAATTCCACTTGAATAAAATGTTGTCGAAAATGTAATTTCTTGAAAATAGGCATGTAGACTTTAGGGACACCCTGTATTAAGGTGTACAGCGCAGGTGCCAAACTCAAGGCCTGGGGTCCGATCTGGCCCTCCACATCATTTTATGTGGCGCACTAAAGCAAAGGATGTGCATCAACTTCGTGTGTCTTGCCAAACCATTGAGGTATTGCAAGTGTTTTTTGTTAAAATCCCTCTTTTAAAATAAATGGAAAAATACTTAAACTGTTTTTACTTGCCTCTGATTTCAAAACGAGTTATTTTTCAATGTGTTGTGTATATCAAATATGAGGTGATCATAAATTTATTTGGGTTCATAGTCATAACGCCCCTCCGAAGGAAACCAAAACTATCATTTGGAACCGTGCCAAAAATTAGCATGACGCCCCTGGTGTACAGTATGGTGTTTTTAGTACCAGTATTTTTAAGAGTGGCTCGACACAGTTGGACAGATAGTTAAAAAAAAAACTCTCCAAATAAAAGGCTAAATGTGCTTGCTTCAAGCTGTTTATTTGTCCCTCCTAATTGATGTTTACTCTCAAACCTGCGCATAAAACAAGGAGAATTAAACAACAAAAGTTAAGTAGCTTATTTCAACACACTATGGATGAGCTAAAAATTAGCACAGACATTGTCAAGAAAAGTTTTGACTTGACTTCCACTTCAATATGATATGATCTTTTGACATTCGGCCACCGCTGTAAGGCCAGGCAGTTGGTAAGTGTATATCCTCACCGTAACCGGGCTGTCATGCAAACGGATGTTTCACCTTCACCAGGCTTTGAGTCTTCTCTGACTTCGTCACCTGTCAGATTATGACTCTGATGTCTGTCTGTCTAATTGCAGGTATGAATTTGATGTCAGCAAATGCATGTTCTCTGCTGGAAATATAACAGAGAAGCTACGGGTTTCTGGGTTCGACTGCAGGGGTGAGACTGTGTTTGATTTATATGCAGGTAAGGAAAATGTAGTTAGTTTTCCATAAAGCACCAAGTCACTATCAATATCTTGACTGACTTTTTGAGCTTTGTTCAGCATTGTTTTTGTTGTCTGCAGCCTTGCGCAGTTGGATGGCAAGGAAACAACAGTGCATCATTTAAATTGCTACTTTGTTTGTGTTGTTAGGTATAGGATACTTCACACTTCCATATCTGGTCCACACGGGTGCTGCACATGTCCATGCCTCCGAGTGGAACCCACATGCTGTTGAGGCGCTGCGTAAAAACCTCGTGACCAACCGAGTACATGACCGCTGTACAGTTCACCAAGGGGACAATCGACAAGTAATGTATTTTGTATGTGTTCTTCAGCCTCAATGGACTGTTCAATTGGGCTGGATGATAATGGTAATAATAATATCCATCCATTATCTGAAACCGCTTAATCCTCACGAGGGTCGCAGGCGTGCTGGAGCCCATCCCAGCTGACTTCGGGCAGTAGGCGTTATCACGATAATTTTGATTGAGATTGAAATCATGGTTATTGAAACAATGATTCAATGACTTAGAAAAGGAGTCTTTATTTAACGATCAAAACTCAACTAGTCAAAACTAGTCATCATAGCCTCATACCTATTCGTCCCTGTTTGTTGAACACTCGAATCTTGAACTCTTAGTCTTTTTGTCAAGTACAAAATGACCTTGCAAATATTGTGTGAAAGTGACGAATAGCATCTTCAATCAACTGCAGCCACATCTTTGCTGCATTGCATCTTTGCACACATTCAAACTCTCAATAAGCATTTCCCTCATCTCTTTATCGTATTTTTATTATTGCTATTCTAGTTTTATTTTCACAAGTCTTGGGACTTAATAGGCTCAACTGGGCCCGTGGGTATCACTTTGGGCCATATTATGTGGAAACGTGCGTTGGAAATACAAAAAAAAAAAATCCTCTGATCTTTGTATCCTTGAACTTTGAGGAAAGTAAAATTCCTTGAATCCTTGATCACTGAGCTTATATTATTACTTAATTATAACTTGAAACGAATATGGGAAAATCAATTAGTAACAAAGTAAAACAAGAATCTGTTAAAATAAGAGCGATTTAAAAAAAAACAATTTTGAAACAAATATGGCCTTTCCATCTGTGTGTGTGTGTTGGCATCTTCAGGGTGGTGCTGTGCATACATGCGATATACACGAGATTAAAAAAAAAAAAAAAGAAGTTGCGATTCAACTCTATTAATATAACTTGTTTTTCACATATTAGGAAGAATTTGTGCCTTAAGAATATTGTTAGGTTACCCGTGTGTATGTGTTACTCCAGCATTTGTATGTGAATATTTATTGTTTAAAGGAATATAATAAGTTCGATGGTTTAAAATCCACTGGGTGTCATCATACAGTTTAAATGATGTTCAAAGACAGCAGACTCAGACTCGTTTCACGCTGACGACACAAACAACACGGTGCATTGGGGTCACTTGCGCAACGTCGGGAAGTTGCGAATGCACCAAGCCGTTCTGCACATTGGGGTCACTTGCGCAACGTCGGGAAGTTGCGAACGCACCAAGCCGTATATCTGCAAAAACCTAAATCACAATTACATTTCGATTAATTATTCGGCCCTGTACACTAACATGACAGAGTATTAAGTTCACTAACAGTGGATCGTAGTTTGATGAGTAGTTGTCGAACATCACTATCATACAATGATGTTCATAATTTGGTAACGTTATTTTAGCCTAGGTGGGACAGAATAATAGAAACAGCTCTTAGTATTATGCAGAAACAATCACAATAATAAAAAGCCTTTCCAACTGTGTCAGAACTGAGATGTATTAGTATCCTTAAGGCATCTTTTGAAAGTCAAACAACACAAACTGTAACAATAACATTGTCATACATGTCACTTTTATCTAAATTGGAAAATTCCCTTTTTCATGCATTATGCAGGTTAGTAAATCAAACAAAGAACAATACAGTTTTTGTTGTTGTTTTCAGTGTTCAAATCTCGACAGCGTGGAGTTTGCATTTTCTCCCAATGCTAGCATGGGTTTTCTACAAGTTCTTCTCTGGCTTCCTCTCATGTTAGCTTCAATGAAGGTTTGAATGGGTGTCTTTACAGTATTTCAGAAACGTGAATACACCATTACATTAAAAAAAAAAACTCATATCTTTTGATGATCAGGTGCCCTCAAACTAACTCAACACACAGCCATGAATGTCTCAAACAAATTGAGCAAAAAATAGCTGCTTGTTGAGTTATTTTGAAGGTTAAGAAAGTTATTCAAGCTTTACACTGACTATTTTACGTTGTGGCAAAGTTAATTTCTTTAGCTTTGGTCCATGACAAGATCAAACATTTAGAAAATTATGAGGGCTGAACTCACTTTTATGAAATATTGCATGTGTGCTGTGATTGGCTGGCTGGCCTCTTGCCTATAGTTAGCTGGGAGAGGCTCCAGGTCACCCAAGACGCGAAAGAGGACAAGTGCTATAGACAATAGATGGATGTTGTTATAAAAAAACTGATATTTTTGTTTTCTTCTCAGGTCCAGCTGTGTGACATTGCAGACCGGGTGAACCTGGGCCTCATTCCAAGCTCCGAGGACGGCTGGCCTGTCGCTTGTCGCCTGCTGAAGAAAACAACTGGCGGTCTTTTACACATTCATCAAAACGTTACATCAGCAAATGTCGTGGCCTCACATGCAGTGGATGATGCCGACAACAGCGTATCCGGGAAGAGAGCTGACAGAGAGGCGTGGCAGGCCTGGGCTGACGCCGCCGCGAACCGCATTGCATGTCTTTTGAAGAAACTCACCGCCACCACATGGACAACGAACATCCAACACATTGAGCATGTGAAGTCATATGCACCTCATGTGCATCATGTTGTGTTGGACTTGGAGTGCAGACCAGCCTGAATGGAGATAACAATACATACAATCATACATGCAGTATGTACATAAAACACTGAGTCCTGCTCCTTAGGTTCAATGTCATTCATAAAACAGTGAACAGTTTCACTTGAGTTGACTGATTATTAAAAACAGATAGCTGGGGTGTGTGTGTATGTGTGTGTGTGTGTGTGTGTGTATATATATACATATATATATATATATATATATGTATATATATACACACACATAGCAGTGAATATGTATTTACTTCCTTTTTTGAGCCTTTATATTTGTGAAACTGGTCAACTAAGAGAGACTGCATGTTGGAGATTGTATAACCTACTGCCAGATGAGGCAAAAGTGACAGACGTGTTTATTCTACAAAAATGTGCGATCAACAACTCTTAAATTTTCCTTTCATTTTGACAAGCCAAATTTTGGGAAAGGTTTAAGTACCTATCATTGTTGTTTATACTTGAGCTACACCCCTGACATTGCAGGTCTGGAGGCTATTAGTAACAGATATACTGTGTAAACATTTTGAAGGCTCCAGGTGATTTGTTTTTTCTCAAATATTGCTGTTTAAAAATGGCTTTACAAAGTATGATCACAAAAAACATCTAAACAACCCCATATTCAATGACTTTTCATGAGAAAATATTGAGAGAGGTATTGAACAAAGGTTGTAAAAAAAAAAAAAAAGGAAAACCGCCTCTTGCCACAACTGTCAGTCAACAGAATGGCTAAACTATTAGCTGCTAACGGTTTAGCCAATTAACAGCCAACCAAGACACCCCTCAACAGGCTAGGCTTCACCTTTTAAAGTTGCCTGTATTCAGGCACAGATGGACACAGATATTACAGTCCTGTAAAACATGAGGATGGCGACCCCAAGTGAACAAAAACAACACTGCACCTCACATGCATATACAGTATTATGGTATTACTGTACTGTATTTGCATGAAGCTTTGAAATAAATCTTCGGTCTCTTCTTGCAGATTTCATCTGTTGAAGGCTGGCCTGAAACATGACTCCGCAATAAAAGAGTCATTCCTGTATTTAACTTTTTTGATTAGATTTTGTAAAACGTAATAACTGTATACGTACTTCTATTTCGCTACACTTCTAATTTATGTGGACTAAATTTTAATTGATTCATCAAGTACAGATGTTTTGTTCTTGATTATGTTACACATAAGCCCTCGTGTTAAAACTGCATCATATTCTACTAAATAAAAGCCTCCTTGTTTTTGATCAATTTGGGCACACTGACCCATGGTACTGCATTTTAACGTTGGTCGTGACGTTTCTTGGTGAGCGCTATAATATTATTTCAATTTTATTCCATTTTATTTTGTTTGTTTCGGTGGTAGGCAATTCAGTATAGAAATTGTGAGAACCACTGATATATGTTAATAAGTCACAACAGTGCTTCCTGTTGCCAGTGGAATGAATTTACAGTGGAAACGCGCACAGAGGTGTCCGTGTCCAATCTTCCTGTTTGTTCACTCCCTAACAGCACTCTTGCTCTGCGTGTCTTCTCAGTGGAGGTGAAGGAAAGCGAAGGCTATGGATCTGCACTAGTCGGAGGAGCTGAGCTTTTAAAACTATACAAGGTAAAGTTGTTGTTTTTTTAATGGATTTTCTGTCGAGGAAAATAACAACTTGCCTTTTAAACTTTGATGACGTAAGCTTGACTTTTCGGCAACAGGTGTATGTAATGAGCCGAGTGAAACCAGTTCTCCTGCGGTATTTCCAACTGTGAACAAACACGTCTTTTTCCTCTATAATTTCCACTTTACTACTTTACTAAGTGGTGAGAAGTAACTTGAATGTAGGTTCAGTTCGAATAACATCACCATGTTGGAGTCCTGTGTTAGTATCTGAGTTGCGATTTTCTTTTCCTTCGTCAGCTTTTGACCAAATCGTCAGACAAGACAAACAACGGGCGCATTGTCTCATTTTGAAATATATTAAGTGGTTAATGTTCCTTGCATTTATAAACAAAGACATTCCACTTTTAGGGGACATAAAAGGAAAATTCTCGTTTGTTCAGTCATCTTGGAAGGGAGGCAACTGTGCAGGCACTGCTTCCGTCCTTCCTTCCTGGGTTGATAAGCTGCCTTGCAGGTATTTTTCTACCTGCTTTTCGCATCGCCTTTTCTTGGCCTGAAAACAATTTTACACTTGCCTTGCAAAAGTAGCTTGCCTTGAGGCAGTTAAAATGGACCATTCCATTTCACACTGAAAGCTACATGTTTATTTTAAATGGCTGCTGATCTCTGTATCTTTAAAGGGTGGGAACCGAGACTGAAGGATGTTATTTTTGCTTGCTCTATGCCAAACAACCTTTCAGCAGGGTAGAGGCCTCAAAATATTGCATCCTGCTTTACTTCCTTTTTAATCATCTGTCATTGTAAGTGAAATTAGTTAAACTAGAATGCTTTACCAGTGCATCCTAAATCCTGATCGCATGACACTCAGAAGAAGCCTCTTATTGTCAGAGGAGGTGTGGTTTCTCTCAATGGTCAGAATTAATTAAGGGTGAATGCATAGTAGGAGTCTTTTGCCTAATGCTTCTCAATTATTTTCTGTTATGCCCCACCCATTTGTAACGAAAAACATTTTGTGCACCCCAAAGCTACACAATGACGACATTTTTCTAATAAATTGTTAAAAGTACACATCTCCATAACATATTACCCTTATTAACATTAATGAAACCAAAAAAAAAGAAAGGTAAATCGACATATAACCTTATTCACATTGAGATTAGTTAACTTGCAGTGCCATTGCACATGCAGCTAAAGTTGTATCAAACGGCACTCCTGATTCTGAATCCCCTGGGTAGATTAGATTAACGTTGCAATACAGTAGCTGGAATCTGTTTGGACAAATATATAAAACACGTACTGGAAGTAGTGCTGCAGACAGAAACGCTACGAACTGAAGAGAAAACTGTTGCGAATAAAATTTTAGGGAACAACCATTGGAATTTAGCTGTTAATGGAAATTGGTGCTTATGATGGAGTTTAGGGCACCAGCGAAGGTCTTCTTGGAGCTGACCACACACCACACACAGCGTGTTAACAGTTATTGGTTAGAAAATAATCAAGAAATCATTTATTTTCTGTACTAAACCCACAGCTGCCTAGTAAATGATGCATTTGTACCGGTAATTTGGTTTATATAGTTCCCTGTAATTGTTTTTTCCAGCATCACGCTAACTGGATGTAACTCATTTGACTTTGGTTGAGTCACCAACAGCCACCATGCCTCAGCCAATTGACAATATTGACCTGGACTTCCTCTCTGATACTGAGCGGGATTTGATCCTGGAGGTGCTGCGGCGGGACGAGGTACTCAGGCAAGCCGAGGAGCAGCGCATCCGGTAAGGAGTTAGCTTTTCATGCTTCGGCGCCTTTTCCACATTGTCGAGTGCTGGTCCTGCGCCTGACACCTTAGGGCGGTCCGTTTTCCACTGAAATCATTACAGTGGAAATCGCGACAACAATGGCACATCAAATCCAGAGGTCTGAATGAGACACGAACAATGGAGAAAGAGAATCAACTGTATTTCCAATTGAACAGTGGGAGCACTAATTTTATTTGAGAAGAGATTAAGGGCGGAAATAAAAATGGACCGCTGTAGCAAAGTTGAGACCATGGTGTATGAGACCATGGTGTTTAAATCCCGACTGTTTACAAGGGATACGGCCTGACTGAGCCCTGCTGACATAGCAATTTTGAAAAAACAGATTACTTCCCCTGTAAAAAATATTTTGAATTACTATATACAGTTTCGTTGAAAACACAAATATTTGTCACAATAATAATCAGCAATAATTTCATAAGGTACGAAACAGGTAAATAACAATATGCAAACATTTTCAAATATTTTTTTGAACAGACCCACAGGCTGCATACGTGGTACTTGGGGGGGGTACCTGTTGGGCTACCATATTTGGTGACCCTTGTGCTATAGCTTCAAAGCCAATGTCTTTATTTTTTATTTTATTTTATTTTATTTTTTAGGAGTCAAGGAGTGTGTAGTATTTATTGTGTATACTGTCTTGTATACACAAACAGATAAGATGCACTGCCCTCTCCTGCGACCATTTTTCAACATACTATATTTCTGTTAATTATTGCGGGGGCGGGGGGCTGTTTTATTATTTGTTTTTTTTTTTTGTTTTTGTTTTTGTTTTTTTGCTCCAGCATACTTTTGGGTTGATTGCACGTTGTTTGCCCCATTGTTTTGCAGGAAGCTGAAGGCAGAGTTGCTAGAAATTAAGAGGAAAGGGGCCAAACGTGGCAGCATAAGATACAGTCAGCGGAGTTGCGCCCGATGCCATGGCTCACTGAGTTTGCTGGCATTCAGTTCCAACCACTGTCAGTGCTGCCATCACCTCGTGTGCCGTAAATGCAGAGCCAACCTCCCGGATGGATCCTGGTTGTGCAGTGTGTGCGTCAAAGAGTCGTAAGGGAATGTTTTCATACTTTGTTTGCAATACTTTAAATGGGGGTACTTTTAAAGTATTGAAGCCAAATACCAGTTAGCAGCACTACAAGCTGGACGGAGATCTACAGTATTAGCTAAAGTACGACTATGATGTCTTGTAGTGACATGAGGAAGAGTACAGGAGACTGGTTCTACAATCTGAGGGTCAACCGATTCTCCACCATGCCTGGCCACGAGCTTGTGAGAAGCAGCCTCAGAAAGAGGCCCGCGAGTGAGTACAGGAAGAGGAAGTGGGTTCTGACTGTTTGACAAGGAATGTAAACAGCACGCCAAGCCCAGCATGGCAAAAGTGGCTGGAATACTGTTGTAGTCAAATAGTAAAAGAGGAAATAACTTGGCGTGTGATTCACTGACTGTCTATTTTTTAAAGTGAAAAAGTATGCGACAATGGGAGATGTTCTACTTAGAAATTCGGATTCGAGCCGAGGTCCACCTGTTCCTGTCCCCAGGCACAAAGTCAGCGCCACCGACAAACGGTGCAACACCATTTCTTCCTGCACATACACTATACACAGAAAGTTAAGGATATTCACCTTTTGGGCGAAAACGTAACCAATTTAAAATGCCCTATAATCCTATGCAGGTGAACTTACGGTAATGTTAATTTTTTGGAGTAAACACGTCCAGCTATTCAGGACTTGCTGTCCTCTACCAAGAAGCTGATTGGCCAAACTCACAACAGGTGTTTGTTGTGTGTTCCAAAATGTTGCTGGATTACTGTATAGCATTTAGTTATTAGTTTGGAATGACTCTTCATAGTCAAGCCATCAGTTGTTGCAAGGGAAAGGAAATAGTTTGAGTAAAATTTGGCTGTTCTCACTGCACAACGTTTGAAATTATGAATTGGTCTTTCGTCAAGTGACTGTGGTCCAAGAAGGTTGATTGATGCCTTTCGAGATGTTCCGTTATCGGGGATTAATGGATTGTGCTGCGTTGTAATTCATGCCTCCACGTGATTAACCCCTGATAATTGCTCACCAATTTGGGCATTAACCTGACGTATAAAATTTTGGGGGGGACATAATGGCTTATAAAGTATCAGAATGACATAAATGTACTCCAAATGTAAAAAAATGTGTGAATTTTTCTCCCCTCCTAAAAAATCTCAAAATTAGAGTGTGGAAAAAGTAATGAATTTTGAAATCTCAAATGTGTCGGAACAATGTGAAAGTTCACCCAAAAACCTAATATCCCTAACTTTTTGAGTACTTTATGATAAAATATCCAATTGTTGGGATTGCCAAAGATGATTCCAATTTCTCTCTTGTAGTCCTTCCAGTGAGAACTCAGACTCAGTTACTTCAACAGCATCTTTTGAACCAAAAGAAGATGGAATTTTCTCTCATGGTCCTCCCAGTGAGTACTCGGGATCTGTTGCTTCAACAGTGTCTTTTGAGAGAAAAGGTATCGATGACCTGTTCAAGCCATCACAGAGTGACGCTGAGTTGTCAGAACTCACCAGCCTCACTAGCAGCAAAACAGGCCACGAGTCAGGCCGTGTAACCCCAGACCTGCCCAGGTAAACTCACTGCTGGTGCTGATGTTAGATAATTACATGAACTTGGACTATATTATGTCATCTGTAGTTGGATGCATTTCAAACTGATATGTTTTTTGTGTCATCCAGAAGAGCGGTTCTCCCACCCCATTACAACCAGTCCAGTGTGACTCTCTTACCAGATGCTATCAGCATTCATAGTTATAGCTGTGAAGCTGAAGCTGTAAGTGTGTTGTCATATTCTATTTTTCTCCCAGCTCGCTCAATCTACTCCTCTTTGACTGTAATTACGGGTTATGTCCTGATAGGCCCCAGAAATAAATCAGGCCATTCCAAGCCAGGAGTTTGACGTTGACAAACTCTTCAAGAAGAGCATCCAACATGTTCACGATCCTCCCGGTAAGTCTCTTATTGTCTTCCCAGAAGCAGAGACAATTTGGATAAAAGCCGTCATGTTTATAACAGATGATGGCATGGATGTGGGCAAGCAACCCGACTCGTATAAGGTCCCAGTGGAAGTTAAGAGCCAGTTTGGACAATTATTGGACACCCAAGTAAGTACAATAATAATAGATTTCATTAATGCTTATGGCAACATGTTTTTCTCCACAATTTCAAACATGTCATAAAAACACCTGGGAACTGTCTGAAACATGCTTCATCAAAATACCTAAGAACTATGATGATATTTTCACATCACTATTTCTTGTTGAGCTCAAATCGACCCGTTTTTAGGGTCCAGCACTTTTCTCATGCAAGTAGGCGGTTGTACAGACATGTCAACAGGAATGTGCATGATCGTGTGTACCGTTGTGGAAATGTCTGTCCCTGTGAGATGAAGATATTCAGTATCTAATTCAGACCAGGGCTCGACTCTACGACCATTATGCTAGTGAATGTGGCCAACTTTTCAATGTGTGCTGGTGGAAATTTAATCCAGTCGCATTAACATGAGTGCATGTTTTAATGTTCCTACTGGTATTTGGGGAGATTACAGTGAAGGTGCTCCAATTTTGTGTCCTTTTGTCAGACTGCATGAACACAGCGGGTAAGGCCCTCTGTGACACGTCAGGTTAAAGGTCAAACACCAAAGATTGTGACTTGTTTCTTGAGACATCTTGAACCCCTTTACAATGTATAACTGTCATTTTAAAAGTGGTTTGATCATTGGTAGAGCGCAGCTAAATTACCCAAAACAATTCAGAACATGTCATCTGCGGTTTGAATCTTGCGTTGTTGGGTATTTCCAGAGCTGTGACATCAAAGAAGACAAAAAAATGTCGTGGCTATTGTGGGATGTGGTTGTGTGCTTCATGTTCAGTTGCTCTCCACGTGCTTCATCACTTAAAGCAGGGGTTGGGGGGGGCAAACTCAAGGGCTGCTGTCCTGTCTGTTTTCCATCTCTCCTGGCCGCAACACACCTGATTCAAATAATAAGGATCATTCTCAAGCTGCTTCAGAGCTCGCTGATGAGCTGATCCTTCAGGTGTGGTGCACCAGGGAGAGATGGGATAACAGGTAGGACAGTGGCCCTCGAAGACCAGAGCTGGACATGCCCAACTTAAACAATGCTTCATTCAATGTGTGGCTGTTGGTTGCACTAATGGTGAAGGGAGGGGCACAAGTTTCATCAGCTTTCCAAAGGATAAAGAAATCTGTGACCAGTGGATTGCAAAGTCAATCGGAAGGGAGGAAAGCGTGATCAACTCTGGTTGCCAGGCAAGTACTCCAAGCTCTGTGCTGATCATCTTGAACCGGCGTGCTTCAGCAAACATTTAGGAGAGAGCATCAGGTACACAAATGTAGTTCGACCCAGGCTGAAACCAGCTCCCATGCCAAAAAAATTTCCTTTGTCAAATGCGACTTCAACCCCCAGCAGCAGGATGAACTCCAGTCGTCATGGTTCATTCGAGAAGCCGCGCAGGCAAGAGGTGAGGGAGGAGTTCTTTGCATGGACTTAAGACACCTACGAATGGTGATTATGAATTGAGCCGTTGGGGTAGGGGAACAAAAAAAAACACCTGTAGTATAATATGTACTTCTGCCGACATGGCAAGCTGCCCAGCATGGCAAAGCCTTTCTCTATGGTATGTTATAAACAACCCCTGTGTGTAAAAATCCAAAACATTGCTTGCCATTGAATGTAGTGTGTTGTGTAAGCTCATGGAAATTGTACAGTATCTCTATAGTGTTGCGTGCTGGTCGGAGATTAAAACGTCACTTCTGATAACCCTAGTGGTGGCTAGCGTAACTACACCCCCGATGCCTCAAGCTACCAGTAATCGGACTGTGGTTGAGAACTTGGAGGAAGGAGCGTGTATGTATTCCAAAACATATTACCAATGAAAACATGAATTTTAACAGACTCTGGAAAATCTTTGGAATCTGATCTTAAATCCTGTCAAATTTAAATAAATAAATATCTAAGTCTGAATGTGTACTGGATGCCATCTAACTGAACAAGCACTTATTTGCTTTATAAAGCACAGCATGCCATTCAGCTCGCTCCCATTCACTGAGGCGCTCATGTTCCGCTCCATTTTTGCAACGGAGACTGTGTGCTGGTCTATTGCAGTGGTACATGCGGAATATCCCAAAGACATGTAAAAGCATTTTCCTCAAGGACGCAACATCTCATACACCAGCTACTTTTAAACATGATTAGCCGTTAGTCCTTATAGGTGACAGAAATGAAACGCCGAGTTTGATGTTGACAAATACTTCAAGAAGAGTGTAAAACACAAGTCCAATTTTGTTACATTACAATGCTGAAACAATTTGTAACTTCTGTTCATGGCAGAATGTGTCAAATACGAGCTGGATTTTTATGATCAATCTGACTCGTATGAGGTCCCAGTGAACATGAAGAGCCAATTTGTAAAAGCTTTGGTCATACAAGTAGAACAGTTATTTGCTTTATATTTGTCTTATTGATTGTGTACTTTGTAGTAAAAGCTTCAACTCTTTAACTTTTGACCTCAAGGGAACATCTTTGGCGACACATTGCAGGTTGCCTTGCGATTGACACTTTTCTACTTGCAAAAGATGGTATTGGGAGGCACTGTTTCTACTATTTTGTGGGGATTTCAGGCTTGCTGAGCTCATGTCCTTTGGGTGATCTGGGCAGTGTCTGCTTTACTGCTGCTGTTGTTTAGTTTCTCCTCTTGACTAAAGATGTCTCCTTGAAGTGAATGCAGGAATCCCTTGTCTCGTTTTAACCGACACGTTCAATGCGGCATGGTTTTTGGCAGTTTTTACTTTCCATGAACAAATCACCCAGTGGGTTAAACCAAGCGGATTTTGATTTTAATGAAACTTGCTCTTCTTGTTGATAGTGATGGCACAACACTAAATCTCAAATTTGAGGTCAGTCGGAGCAGGGGTTTCGGTGTTACAGCCCACCGAATTTGAATTAGTAGGGCAAAAATGGGCGTGGCCGCCTTCCTTTGAACCCTTGTATCTCAGAACTACTGTCAATCTTTTCGAAGCCGGTATTAAACTTAATTGAACTGTGTACATTGAAACTGAAACATTTATTTTGTGAATGCAAACGCTTTGTTTTTCTTCTTTCTACCCACAATTTTGCTGCTGTAGTCTGTAAATTTCCCCAGTGTGGGACAAATAAAGGATATCTTATTGCTGGAAAGGGAATTCAAATCTTTACAATTTAAGATTGATGCATATTTTAGTAACTTGACCTTTTGGCCTGTAATTTGACCTTAATTTATTTTTCATGAAATGTAATCCCTTTCCAACAATACCTGTTCTGTGATTATTGAGGAAGTCGTTTCTGAGATATAAGGGTTCCCCCAAAAAGTGGCCACGCCCCTTTTTGCAGAACTAATTAAAATTCGATGAGCTGTCGATTGACCTAGAATTTGAGATTTAGTGTTGTGCCATCACTATCATCACGTACAGTAAATTTAATCAAAATTAAAATCGGCTTGGTTCAATTTTTCACATTTTTGGGGTGATTTGGCATGGAATGACCATGGTACTATTTTTGTGAAGTAGAAAACCCAACTGCTAACAAAGGCGAGCACAGCTCAGCTGAGCCAGTATTGATTATTGGAAGTACCGGGTTTACCCAATGCTATGTTTGTGTGTTGACGATAAAGCTGGGAATGTTTTCCTCTGTCTTATGATAACAAGGAGCGAAAGCAGTTGTGATGCTGGCAAGTAGACATTGTTGTATTTCTGCCCCAGTTTTCTCCATTTTCTCCTCTTTGAACATGATTAGCCTTTTTTCCTTCAACCGTAGGTCCCAGAAATAAAGCAGGTCATTCCAAGCCCAGACTTTGACGTTGACGAATTCTTCAAGAAGAGCATCGAAAGCAGTGAGAAACCATCTCATTAGTCTCTTACTGTTGTGCTCTTGTTCCCCCCCTCAATACAGACAGACTTTGGTCATAATCCATCATGTTCATTACAGAAAGTGTCTATAATGAGATGGATGTTTATGATCAATCCCACTTATATGAGACCTTGATTGACGTCGAGAGAGAATTTGTCCAAAATTTGGACACGCAAGTAAGTAAGCAAGCCCCACTCTTAGGGGCCGGCTCTTCCTTACGAGCAACTTTGTGCCCCATATGCTTTTGGGCCAATGGCGAGTACGACTCTCTGTAAAGAGCCCAGAAAGTGAGGGTGGGGTTGCGGACTGTTGGGGGTGTTGAGGAAAGCAAGTGCCCATAAAGGATATGAAAGCATTTTGATTTTCGAATCAGCAGTTCACACACTTATTCCATCTACTCCTTTTTGCACGTGACTAGCGTTTGTCCTTTTAGGTCACGGAAGTAAAGCAGGCCAGTCCGAGACCTGAGTTTGATGTTGATAAACTCTTCGAGAAGAGCGTTAAACCTATTGAGAATCATCCTGGTATGACTTTTATTGTCCTGCGTTTTTTTTCCTTCTACAATGCACAGAGAATTCGGTCATAATCCACCATGTTCATTACAGAACGTGTCTATAATGAGCTGGATGTTTATGATCAATCCCATTTATATGAGGCCCTGATTGACGTTGAGAGACAATTTGACCAAAGGTCGGACACGCAAGTAAGTAAGGCCTACTTATAGGGGCTGGCTCTTTCTCATGCAAACGAGCAACTTTGTGCCCCATATACTTTTGGGCCAATGGCGAGTCTTGGTTTCATCTCTGTAAATAGTCCAGAAAGTGGCAGTGGGTTTGTTTGGGGGTTTAGAGAAAAGCAAGTGCCCATGAATGATATATGAAAGCATTTTGATTTGAGAAGCAGCAGTTCACACAGTTACTCCATCTATTTCTCTTGAAGCATTACTAGCCGTTTTTCCTTTTAGGTGACCGAAATAAAGCAGGCCAGTCCAAGCTCCGAGTTTGATGTTGATAAACTCTTTGAGAAGAGTGTAAAACCCATTGAGAATCATCCTGGTATGCCTTTTATTGTACTGCATTTTTTTTTCCGCACAATACTGTATAGAGAATATGGTCATAATCCATCATGTTCATTACAGAACGTGTCTATAATGAGATGGATGTTTATGATCAGTCCCACTTATATGAGACCCTGATTGACGTCAAGAGACAATTTGTCCAAGGTTTGGACACGCAAGTAAGTAACCCCCATTTTTAGGGGCTGGCCTCATGCAAACAAGCAACTTTGTGCCCTGTATACTTTTGGGCCAATGGCGAGTCTTGGTTTCATCTCTGTAAATAGTCCAGAAAGTGGCAGTGGGTTTGTTTGGGGGTTTAGAGAAAAGCAAGTGCCCATGAATGATATATGAAAGCATTTTGATTTGAGAAGCAGCAGTTCACACAGTTACTCCATCTATTTCTCTTGAAGCATTACTAGCCGTTTTTCCTTTTAGGTGACCGAAATAAAGCAGGCCAGTCCAAGCTCCGAGTTTGATGTTGATAAACTCTTTGAGAAGAGTGTAAAACCCATTGAGAATCATCCTGGTATGCCTTTTATTGTACTGCATTTTTTTTTCCGCACAATACTGTATAGAGAATATGGTCATAATCCATCATGTTCATTACAGAACGTGTCTATAATGAGATGGATGTTTATGATCAGTCCCACTTATATGAGACCCTGATTGACGTCAAGAGACAATTTGTCCAAGGTTTGGACACGCAAGTAAGTAACCCCCATTTTTAGGGGCTGGCCTCATGCAAACAAGCAACTTTGTGCCCTGTAGACTTTTGGGCCAATGACGAGTATGACTCTCATCTCTGTAAAGAGCCGAGAAAGTGGGGGTCAGTTTGTTTTGGAGGTTTTAGGATAGCAAGTGCCCGTAAGGGATATGAAAGCATGTAAGATTTTCAAATCAGCAGTTCACACACTTGTTCCATCTTCTCCTCTTTAAGCGTGACTAGCCGTTTGTCCTTTTAGGTCACAGAAATAAAGCAGGCCAGTCCAAGCCCCGAGTTTGATGTTGATAAACTCTTCGAGAAGCTCCCAGTGGATGTCAAGAGCCAATTTTACCAAGGTTTGGAAATGCAAGTAAGTCAGTCATGGTTTTAGGGAACAGCCCTTTCTCATGAAAGTGAGCAATTATCTAATGGCTGCACACAAATACCCCTCTGCCAAGGCCGAGTTCTGCTTTCATTACCATAAAGATTGCAGAATGTGGCGGGGAGCTTGTGCCCACAATTAAGTTATCATCGAGGCAGGGCTTTATGCACTATTCTATCTATTCCTCCTTGAGCATCGTTAGCTGTTTGTCCTTTATAGGTCCCAAAAATAAAGCAGGCCAATCAAATGCCAGAGTTAGATGTTGAGAAATTCTCCAGGAAGAGCGTAAAACACTTTGAGAATCCTCCTGGTAAGCATCACATTGTCCTGTTAGTGTTTTCCCACAACCCAGGAAGAATATGGTTTTAACTCATGTTCATGACAGAATTTGTCAAACATGGGTTGGATATTTGCGATCGACCTGACTCGTACGAGGTCGCAGTGGCTGCTAAGAGACAATTTGAACGAGATTTCGACATGCAAGTAAGTAGATCAGTAATTTATTTCATTTGCAGTGTTAAATTCCTTTCATAAATTGCCTGCTGGAACATGTAAATTCTCCATTTTAGTTAGCTCATGAACATCTTGCGGGAAATGTGGTGACATTATTCATTGTATGACTACCCATTCCCTTTAAAGCATACGGCTGCTAGTCGGTGTAATGGTCAGGACTGGCCCAGATATACACTGGCCATTCGGCAAATTTAACAGAATTCCCGAGGGTCACCCCGCCCCTGACCTTTATATTTTATACTCATTTGATCCTATATTTTCACTAGTCTTGGGAATTACCGGGCTCATCTGTGACCTTGGAATATATTTTGTGCCATGTAATATGGAAATGTGTATTGGTACACCAAAATAAAGTCCTTGGATCTTTGTATCCTTGAATTTTGAAAGGAAAATTCCTTGATATTTTTTTTCCATTCATTTCAGTTATTCTACTGTATAACAAATATAAAACAGTGATTGAATTTTGAAAGGAAAATTCCTTGATATTTTTTTCCATTCATTTCAGTTATTCTACCGTACAACAAATATAAAACAGTGGACTACAAAGAAATAGACCATTCAGGAATAATAAATATGCCTTATAATGTAAAAATAAATTTTAAATTATGATCCTACATACGGCATTGGCACCATTGTTATTTGCAAATGTGACTGATCAAACAATGACACAATTGATTGCTGCTTTCATCCAGTAGCTGCCGGCTAGTTATTATTAGCAATTAAACTGCTCATCTTCATGTGGGCAGACTGTGCAAACTGCTCACTTTTTCATGCTTTCCACTTGATCACTTGGGTGCTACTTTTTCAAATGATTCAGGTTTCTTGTACAGTACTGCCGTGTTTTTGACAGCGTACGAGGCACAACAGCTTCCTCCTCCACGTCGCTCTGACGATCCTGCTCAGGGAGAAATTTGTCAAAATATCTTGATCTTATGAAGTCATGGCTGCCTATTAACTGCGTGTTTGAGCTCAAGTTCAGTTTGTAACCATTACTTTACATTTACTGCTGCTTCTTTCATTTATTGGCGGATTCTGTTGATTTCAACTTGCAAACCAATGTCAGAAGTTGAACTCAGATTGCCTAGAATTGCGCACATTTCCGCCACATCTTATGGAGTAAATTTGCTCACACCTCGCCGGTCTGTCTTTGTGCGTCCCGGTCCCAAATGGCCCGTGGCCCGGTACTGGTCTGCCGACCAGTGGTTGGGAACCATTGGCTCAAAGCATGCTCAGGAATGGTAGAGTCACATACCCCAACACAAGCAACATATGGTGCTTTGAGAGTACTTGTGCAACATTGGGAAATTGGAAATAAACCGCACTATTTTGCACGTTCGTTTTTCTTCTGGAACGTTTTGAATATCGAAAAGCCAAAATCGAGATCCCAATTAAATTTACATTAATGGTCCGGCCATACCATGTTGATTTTGTGTTGATGATAAAACTTGGAATTCTGTTTTCCCTCTCAGTATGTTCGTAAGTCGCTAACCGCTATTAATTTGTTGTCACGAAGACTCGGGTTGATGTCTGCCTCAGATTTCCTCCTCAGCTTCTCTTCGAATATGACCAACCTTTTGTCCTCATCCTGAAGGTCCCAGAAATAGAGCAGGCCGTTCCAAGCCGAGAATTTGATGTTGACGAACATTTCAAGACAGTCAACAACATTGAGAATCATCCCGGTTCGTCATTTATGTCCTGCTGTTGTTTTCCCTTAATGCAGCGAGAATTTGGTTATAACTCGTCATATTATCATAATTACAGAACGTGCCAATATTGGGCTGGAAGTTTCTGATCAATCTCATTCATATCAGAACCTGGCGGACATCAAGACGCAAAGTGTACATGGTTTGGCCATGGAAGTAAGTAAGCCTCGTTTTTCGGGGCAGGCTCTTTCTAATGGAAGTGACCAATTGGTTTACCCCACCCCATACTCTGCATGGCCAATGGCAAGTCCAATTTTTGTTACTATGACAATCCCAAAATGTAAGGGTGTGCGGGGGAAGCAAGTTTCTATAAAGGCAATAAAAGCATTTTCCTTTGGGAGGCAGCACTTCATACACGATTCCACCTCCTCCTGAACATGATTAGTTGTGTGTCCTTATAGGTCACAGAAATAAAGCAGGTCAGTCCAAACCCAGAGTTTGATGTTGAGAACCTCTCCAGGAAGGGCTTAAAACACATCGAAAATCCTCCTGGTAAGCCCTATATTTTTTTTTCCGGTATTGCTTTCCCCACAAAATAGAGAAATTCATTTGAACTCATGTTCACGGCAGCATGTGTCGAAAATGAGCCTGATGTTTGTGATCAACCTCACTCGCATGCGATCCCAGTGCCAGCCCCGAGACAATTTGTAAAAGGATTGAACACGCAAGTAAGTTGATCAGCAATGTACTTCATACCTGTGAAATTCTTCTCATGGATAGATTGTTAAAAGCTTCAAATTCTCTGTTGTCTAACTTGAGGTTAGGCGACATTTTCCACTGCATGGTTACCCATTCTTGTCTAAGACGAGCTGTTGATGCTTTTCCGTTGGCCAAAGGTAGTACTATGTGGTGCTGTTTATCGGCAGGTGGGCTGCCAGGTGTGCAGAACTAATATGGGTGATCTGTTGATGGTGTCCACTTTCTAGGTGCCCTCAGTCTCCTCTTGACTTGAAGTCAATGCAGGAAACAGTTGTTGTTTTATTCCGACCGATGAGTTCTGCAGTATATTTTTTTGGAGTTTCCCTAAATATTATTTTGAAGTCGAAAACAAATCCCCCCCCCCCACCCCCCATGTGGCCCAAGTACAGCTCAGCTGGTACTGTGCAGTGGAAAAGTGTGTGCGTGCGGAAACGGTGTTTGACTCTCACTCTTTTGGTAATATGCAGCTGAAACCGTTGAAGTGTCAGGTAGACGCTGGTCTGTATCTGTGTTAGCGTTCTCCATCTTCTCTTTCTTGAACATGATTAGCCATTTACAGTATGTCCTTTATAGGTCCCAAAAATGAAGCAGGCCAGTTCAAGCCCAGAGTTTGATGGTGACGAACTCTTCAAGAAGAGCGTCAAAAACATTGAGAATCCTCCTGGTATGACCACTACTGTCCCGCCTTGTCTGGTTTGCCCTCAATGCTGAGCGAATGTGGTCGTAACTCATGTTTACAACAGATTGTCTCAAATATGGGCTGGAGGTTTGTGATCAACCTGACATGTATGAGACCGTATTGGATGTAACAAGCCAATTTGAACAAAGTTTGGACACGCAAGTAAGTCGCACAGTAGGAGGCATTTGATTCACGTTTTCACAATGTAATACAGGTCCCAGGTGTTTTGATAACATGTCTGTTCCATACTTTAAAAAAAAAAAAGTCCACCTTCCGCCCTCTGAAATGCATCTGTTTTTAAGGTCTCAATCACCTATGCCATGTTGTGTGTTTGACGAGAGCACTGGTAACTTTTTGTTGATGTTCATGTGCAGTTAACGCTAACTATTTTACCTGCGTATGCTATCATAGAATCCAGAAATAAAACAAGTCTGTCCCAGCCCTGAGTTGGATGTTCAGAAACTTTTCAAGAAGAGCGTCACTCGTACTCAAAATATTCATGGTAAGCATCTTATTGTTTTCTCCCTTCTGAGTAAGATGGATGATGAGTAATGCTCTGCACGTTCGTGTCAGAACACCATTCAACACTTGATCTGCGTGATAATCGAGACACATTGACAGTACCGATGGGAAACAGGAGCCAGTCTGTGCCGGATTTAGACATGCAAGTGAGTATTGCCATTACTGTATACGCTCATGTTTAAATGTAAAATATCGGATGTACCTTATTAGAAAATTGACTTCCATGTTTGTAGTCATGTGGTTGTTGATTTGTAATTTGACAGGATGATGAAGAGGAGGATATTGACAGCCTGGTTAACACTCACAGAAATTCGATGGCCAGTTCTGCAAGTTCAATGGTAAATTTTACATATTTTAACGTAAGCCCCTTTTGATCTGTTCTGGTAAGGCGTGCGTGCGTGCGTGTATTTTTTGTGCTTTTGCAATACAATAGTAGTGCTCTAAGATGGTGCCAAAGCCCTGACGAATGGGGAAAGTAGTCATTGGTGCTGAGGAAGTCCAATTGTTCCTTCAGTTAGTGATCCGATTTGCATGCTTTTTGGAGATACAAGCCCTTGTTTGGATGTTTTCTATTTGATTGTTTTTTGCATCAAAATGTTTAACAGGCACTCTATGCTGGCAGACAACTCAATTCCCTTCACAACAGGCAGCAGTTTGGCAGACGGTGAACAATTCTTTAAAAAAAAAAAAGGCTATGTGCTGTTTGTTGCCATTTCCATTTGAAATTTACTGTCCAACAAAACAAAGATAATTACTTGGGCTGTCAAATTGGCACTTTATTGTGTGAGAGGGCCTATTTGATATATATATTTTTTTTTTTACCGAGCGATTAACTCCCCTCATTCGGCACCCCCTAGAATTACAGTTGCAACATAGCAGACTCATCCACATTTGAATTAACCTCCAGAACTGCACTGCAGCACAACAGGCAGCAGTTTGGCAGACAGTGAACAATTCTTTAAAAAAAAAAAAGGCTATGTGCTGTTTGTTGCCATTTCCATTTGAAATTTACTGTCCAACAAAACAAAGATAATTACTTGGGCTGTCAAATTGGCACTTTATTGTGTGAGAGGGCCTATTTGATATATATTTTTTTTTTTAACGAGCGATTAACTCCCCTCATTCGGCACCCCCTAGAATTACAGTTGCAACATAGCAGACTCATCCACATTTGAATTAACCTCCAGAACTGCACTGCAGCCAATATACACGTGTCTAAACGGAGTAAACGGGCTTACACTTCTGTTACACGTTTCCACCTGCAAGGCATACATAGCACTTGAGTTATCATTCAGCTCCTGGTGATGCAGCATCAGGATCACCTGGACGTTCAGTATCTTGCTCAAGTCGACTTCATTTGGACTGTCAAGCACTACCACCTCTTCATTACTTTGAGAAGGGAGCAAACTACAGTGGATAGGCTAAAGCCTGGGCCGCTGGTTTGCTCCACCTCGAAAAGGGTTCTTGGAGTGTTGGGGAGGCGCTGAACCAAGAGTATGCCCAGCTTGTCTGAAACAGATTCATGGTTGTGATTTTAACAATGTGAAGCAGTTAGTTACCCCGTCGTGTATGAAAAGCGCTCTACAAATGAAGTTCGAGTTAACGAGTGTGGTTGCGAAACCCAAGGCACAATTTTATGTTGAAGTGATGTGTCTCGACTGAGAGAGTATTTTAGTCATGGTTTCTTGCTCATCACAGCAGTGGGGGTTTATTATAGTCTGAAGACATGTCAATCTTAAACAGGAATTGTCTAATGAAACCTTTTCCTTGTCAGAGCGTGAGCATGACGAGCATTTACAGTGACTCCGGAGACAGTTACAGTGTGGACGTGAGAGGGGAGGTGGTCTTTTCCATGTTCTACGATGAGCCCACCCAGAGCCTGCAGGTTTTAATCAAGGAGTGCCGCAAACTGGCCTGCGGCGATAGCCTTCGGCAGTTTTCCAATCCGTAAATATAACATGGTTTTCATTTCAGTCCACGAGTGCAACCATTCATATTGTTTGTGTTTAAACACTTGAGATTGCTGCGAAACCTACACAGTTTCTCCTTTGTACACATTCTGGCTGTGTTTGCTACTGTATGTTTAAGTCAACAAGTTGTGCTGAACGGGAAATTCTGTGTCAACAAACACCTCGAGAAATGCAGTCATGTGAGAGGTTTGCAAGGAGAAAATTGGGTTGTTTGCTCTTTGTTTATTTTCTCTCTCTCTCTCTCCTCCATCCAGTTACGTCAAATGTTACCTCCTCCCTGACAAATCTCGCCAGAGCAAAAGGAAGACTACTATCAAGAGGCACACCTGCGACCCAGTCTATGAAGAAACATTCAAGGTATGCTTGAGATGAACACTTCCTGTTCTCTGGGTTTTGTTGACACTTAACCTGGTTGCCATACGACTCCTCGTCACAACCCCTACGGAGACCTTTAGGCTTATTTATTTATTTACAGTCGTGCTTGTCAATGTTGATTCTGTTCCTGACTTGATGTGAAGCATTTGAAAAAGTCTTTGGCTGGATATAGTGTTGAAAACCCCCCGGGCTCACCTATTGTAATGCAGACTACGCACAAGCACGTCATGCCTCTGCCGACATGACTTTGACATCTGCTAGTCCCGCCCCCTTGATGGACCTGCGTCAATGGACTGAATCTAGACAGCACGCAACGATTGGGCAGGGTGTAGTACTGTGGTAGAAACCTGTTTTGCGGGGTGTCAATTAAGCTCAGACTGTAGCTTATTGCAGCAGGACTTGCCCTTTGTTCCCTGTTGAGGATTTCGGTAGGAGGAGGATGATGATTGAAGTAGGCACTGCCGTTAGCCACAGTTTAGGGCCACATGCTCACATGCAAAATCGCCAGTAATATGCCAGGACCTGCCTCTTATATTTTAACTCATTCAGGAACAGCCATTTTCAGATTTTTTTTTTTTAACCCAAAGTCTTGGGGTGAAAAAAAAATTCAAAAAAAGATAAGTACTGTACCTCGGATTGAATGTGTGGAATCTGAAAATACAAAAATATGTCTTGGGGAGTGAATGGGTGAACTCATTTGTCCCATTGTCTGCTCCACGATTAGTACAACATTCGGCGCAATCAGCTGTTAACTCGAAGCATGCTGATATCTGTGTGGCATCACGGCCACCTAGGCAGCAACCCTTTCCTCGGAGAGGTGGAGATCGCTCTGGACTGCTATGACCTGGACTGCCCACAGGAGGAATGTATGGCCCTCATGACAAAAGTAAACCATTTAAATTATTTCAATAATCAGCACTTTATCACTTGGTCGCTCTTTAGTCTTGTTTGTATTTTTATTTTATTTTTTTATGGTTACAAGATCCATTTTGACATTTGACAGCAATACTGTATAGTCACGCTATCGCCATTAAATTTCACGACTTTTCGTGAAGTACGGTGGTACCTTGAGTTTGGGGTGACTCGACTTTCAAATTTTTAAAAATGCAAACTGTGGTTCTGCAGATTTTTGGGGGTAGTGGGGCAGGGGGTGCAAGCACAGACTTGATAAGAGTGCTGTAGGGTGTCAGTTAACTCGACTCACTTGGGCAGGCAGGCACACCAGAAATAGCAACACATTCACCAGTCAATTTATACGTGACAAACTGTTGAATTCAACTGAATTACATTTTTGCTGTATGGCTGTTTTTAAAGTGCAATATTGTGTGTGCGTGTGTGTGTGTGTGTGTGTGTGTGTGTGTGTATAATTTTTTTTTTTTTAATGAAGGGTGCAGCTGAACGACCTTTCCATTCATTTCAATTAAACGCGTGGTCACAGAATGATTTAAACTCGTTTCTCAAGTCACCACTGTTTTAATTTGTCATACATCCAATACATTTCGAAAAGATCTGCAATGTAAAGAAGGCTTAAATACTCCTACTTCTGCTGTCATGACATAAAAAAAATGAGCATAAAGCATCCAATGTTCTCCAAGGCTCCGTGCTGCATACCAGCGTCGGCCTTCACTCAATTCAAAGGAGAGTTGATGATCTCCTTGAAGTATGTCACACCGAAAGGCCCTCGATTGCAGAAATTCAAAGGTAAAGCTGCTGTACAATATGAGAAAAGATTTTTTTGGCACACTTTGCTGCTCTTAAACGTCAAGTTTTGTCTCCCTTCCTCTAGGCAAAAAGGTAGTGGAGGTGGAAGGTGGGGAACTCCACATCTTGATTAAGGAGGCAAAGAATTTGATGGCCATGAAGGGAGGAGGAGGCACGTCGGATAGCTTTGTGAAAGGGTGAGGCTGAAACAAAACTCCAAGACATTCTTACGATATCAACTGTTTTTGAAGACCCTTTTTGCTGTGTTTTCGCAGCTACTTGTTCCCGTCTAAGTCCAAGACTACCAAGAGAAAGACACCCGTCGTGAAGAAGAGCCTGAATCCTCACTACGGTCACACGTTTGTCTACAAGGAGTTGACGCTGGAGCAGCTGAGGACCATGTGTCTGGAACTGACTGTGTGGGATAGAGAACCCATGTTGAGCAATGAGTTCCTCGGAGGCGTGCGCCTCAGTTCCGGCGAAGGTAAAACGCTGACAACAAATCCAACCGCACTTTAGTACGGTTGCATCTCAGTCAACTGGAATATTGTAGGTAACTTCATTTAAGCCCGTATCCCAACTGAGCGGCAAACAATTTTGTGACGAGAAAAGCTGGCTGTGAATGAAGTAAAGCTGTTGGCCGATGTCTTCGCAACCTTTTGCAACTTTGAACGAACCCGATGGAAAAATCAGGGCGGGGCAGCTAGATGGGATTAATGCCATTTCAATGGGAAAAGGTGGTTTGTGATGCAAGTGTTTTGAATTACGTGTGCTCAGCTTGGTGCCAAGGAACTATGCTGAGGTGGGTTCTTGTGGTGCTTTGCTGTCGTCTTGTGATCTATATGCAATTTCAATATTTTAAATAGCATGGCATAGGGACTGAACACTATAAAACTTTTCTACATTTTTTTTTTTTTTTTTTATAAGCACCTACATATGCAGTACCTACAAAAAGTTTTGAGGGGGCGATGGCCAAATGCTGGGGACACCGCCGACAGGGCGGTCATCATGGTCACGTAACGTTTCTTCAGTCCATCAAAAATTTCGTGAAAGCAGTCTGTGGTGCAAAAAATATCGTCCACAGGACCCCTACCCTTCGAGAAACATGCTAAATCAGCTAGCGCTCTCACACGGCCTCATGTTACAAGTCAGAGGTCGGCAATTAATTTTTCCACAGGCACTACCTTGCCCAGATGTGCTGTAAATCTTTTAAGTTCAGGCATGAGGTCAGTGGGTCGGGGCGGGGAAAGAGCACCAGACAACCTCGAACGCTCATCCCACACCCAAATGTTTGTGCACCCTGACTTAACATCCCCCCTTTTTAGGCACTGTAAAAATTGGAAACCAGGAAGTGGAGATGGATTCCGTTGGAGAAGAGGTCAGTCTGTGGAAGAAGATGATGCAGTACCCAGACTCTTGGGCAGAGGGCACTCTTCCATTGCGCACCACCATGAGGAAGAAAAAGGGCAAATGAGGACGCCGGAATCTTTTTGGACAGAGGGCAATGACGGGTCAGAAACAGTTTGATCACATACGATGGTGTTTATTTTGCAAAAAACAGAAGCTCACTTAGCGACATGATGGGACACGCCGTTGATTGGCTGTAAGAAGACACTCTCTTCCCACCCGCTGGGCTCATGTTAAGACATGTTTTTTTTTGATGACTAATGTGCCAATGCATACTCAATTTGTGGTTATTTTAAGAACACTTGCACACTTGTATTGTTTGTAACAGTAGCTGCACGGCATATAAATGGTGTCAAAGCAATATTGTCATATGTAACCTGTGCTTTTTGAATATTTTACATAGGTATTGCTGTTTATTATCATTATCAAACGCAGTTGTAGGTTTATTGAATCTTTGTTGCATATGTATGTGACTTTTTAAATTTCTATTGTTACTATAATGTTCAGCCAATAAATGATGACAAACCATTATGGATCGTTTCATTTGGCTCCATAGTATCTCCTCTGAACTCCGCATTACGAGTAGCTGTTTTACTTCGGTGTAATATTGCATGAAAAACATTCACCTCAGGCATAGCAACAAAATGTACTCGACTACTTTTGCTTTAAAATATGACAAGTGAAGGTAAAATGCAGTCGTCAAAATAATTACTTGCTCTAATGCAAGTAATTATCTAAAGAAGAAAACTACAAAAGTCCCGAGTAACTTTGGATTTTATTTTTTCATCAAATGTCAACTAGGGAAAAATGGGAATGTGCAAATTAGACTCTTGCTCAACAATGTCAATTTAAACAAGAGTTAATAAAATAAAGTGAGGCAAATTCTGACACGAAATGGTCTTAACTTTTGTTGTAATGAACCAACGCGATAGGCTCATCAAGTAGAGATTAAATTGCTGACCAAGTTTAATGTAATGTAGTCACTTTGAAAGCTTCGGTGCTTTAGTGAATGTAAATGTAGTGTGTTACTAGTACTTTTATTGAAAGAAAAAAGTATCTATGTTAATGTGTATTGTGTTCTATTTTGTCAAGTAGACTCTGGCGCTATCAACAGCATGGAAAGCGCGAAATGTAACTTTCCTCCTGAGTCCATCCGGGCTTTCTGGGGCCTGATCATAATGTGACCCCATGGGCTTGTCACTCGGCCACTTTTTTTAAAATTTTATTTTATGACTCGCAGAAATCGTGGTGGAGCTCCAGCTTCTCCCTCTCCTCTTCGTCCAGCAAGAAGCTGTCAATGTAGGAAAAGAGTTCCTCCGACGATATGGGGCTGATGAACCGCTCCCGATCCAGCCCGAGCTTGTCCACCAGCACCATGCTGAAGTATTGCCCGGAGATTCGGAATGTGAGCCTGCGGGGAAAAACGTTTAAATCCCTTATTTGGTGGTACTATGCACTGAGTCAGATGTGGGATTCGTGTGTATGAATGTGTCTTGTGGGGGGGAATTCACTGAAAGCATTTTCTAGTGTGGAAAATTGAGCCGTGCCTTAACACATATTGGACTGCCCAGTGGAAAAACAGATTCGCCTCGACTTCTATGAATGAGTGTTTGTCTGGTGTGATTTTGATCATAATTGGTGTTCTGTTAATCAAATTAGCAAATTCTTTTTTGGTGTTTTTTTCCCCCCTTAGGCTAGCCGACATTGTTAGCTGAGAATCTCGTAAGTTTACCGTTTTTGTGCTCAGGTCAAATCAATAACTGTGTGTGTGTGTGTGTGTGTGTGTGTGTGTGTGTGTGTGTGTGTGTGTGTGTGTGTGTGTGATGTGAGAAATTGTGTGCGTGTGCGTGTGTGTGTGTGTGTGTGATTTATGTGAGAAATTGTGTGCATGAGTGTAAGTGTGAGAGAGATTGTAAGTGGATGCGTGTGTGAGGAATTAATGCAAAAGTGAGTGAATGGGCTATGAGAGTGTGTGTAAGTCGGTTAGTGAGAGGGATCAAGTGAGTGAGTGCGCGTGTACATGTAACTAAATGAGTTTCCTGTCTGTCGCATCTCAGCATTTGAGAGTGAAGACACCTCCAAAGTTAGAGTAAGTGGAATCCATGTTCTCTCGGCTTTACCTCAATTCCTCAACGACTACCGAGGTCAAGTTGTTGTCCTTGATGCGTCCCGTCCCATTCGGCGGTGAGCCCAGCAACTCGATCAGCGTCACGTGGCGAAGTTGTAAGCCGCAGTCTGCTTTCTGGGAGCGGGAGAAAAGCAAGAGAGATCTGTGACCGCTTTTTGTGAGGGGCTTTCATTTTCAAGTTGAGACGCGTTTAAAGTTTTCCTCACTTGTATCATGATATTCTGCAGCTGGTACTCCGGGTCGGCGATGTCGGGCGCAGACAGGATGAGAAGTCGCCTCTTTTCGAAAAATTGACGTAGCAGAGCCGACGCGCTTTTCACATCTGACTCAATCTCCATCGCTAAAACGTACAACGCCAACTGTCATTGTCAATAGGGACCTGGGGGAGACCATTTGTCTAAATTCTACCGATGGGTATTCCTTGATTCAATTGACCCAAGCCCGTCCAATTAAGCTATGACCTCTGAGTGGTGGCCACTATGGAATTGATTAGGGCCCGACCAATAGTGATTTTTTTTCTCTGATATTTGGCAGAAAAAAATAAACTCAGGCACCTGATTAATCAGCCGATTCATTTTAAAAATGGACCATGGACAAAAGTTGTTTTTGGTTTAGCGCTCACAACAACAAAGATAAGAGTGACAGGCGGGTTGTGACTAACCACACTTAAATGTGACTCGGAGATTTTTATAAACTGTTTATCGACTTGGGCTCAGAGGTTTCACAACCCAGAGCCAACCCTGCTTAATGTCGACAAGTGCTAGAGAAAATTGATGGATGGGTAGCCTGGGTGGCTGCTGGCCTCTTGCCCAAAGTCAGCTGAGATAGGCTGCAACTCACTCATGACCCGAATGAGGACAAGCACTCGAGAAAATGGAGAAATGGTACCGCTGAATGTAATCATGCCACTAATGTGTATTTCATACTCACGAACGCACTCCGCAGGCCCATCACTCCAATTGCGGTCGAATTGGCAAACCCGACTGGACACGCCCCTGCGCTCATAACCGCCGTCGCAGTGGTATTCGCACACGGCGCCGTGGTTGGTGACATCGGATGAGCAGGTGAGGGAACCGTGAAAAGGTGGAGACAGTGAAGGGCATCTTCTCACTAGAAGGTCAGAACACAGCGCTGTGGTGTTATTTGAGCGCTCCTGACGCACTGTGCCACCAAAATGATCCAATTTCACTTAAATGGTCAACGAAGGTTGGTTTAATTGAGGTGGTAAAATCTGACATGCTCTCAGTGTGGAATCTGCTCACCTTCAACACGGACAATAAACTTGCAGGCGGCTCGGTTTCTGGCTTGATCGTAGACTTTGTAGCGAATAATATTGGGTCCCTCTTTAAATTCACTGCCGGGCTCCTGGCCCACTAGGATCACACTAAAGAAAAAAAAGCAACAAAGTTGAACTTGTCTTTCCATTTGAAACCGGAAACGGTCCTAAAGTTAAACAGAGACATACTCAAGCATTTTATCAGCCGTGTCCGTGGCAACTGGTGCATCCCAAGTCACTCTGGCAGTCAGTTTTCCAGGTTGTGCAACCCTGATTCTGGATAGCGGACACCTTATTTTGGGAGGTTCTGTATCTGAAGTCATTTAGAGATCCACAACACATTTTATGGAAAACGAATACAGTAATCTCTGGTGTATTGCTGAGGTTACATTCCAGAGCACCCCCATGACGGACAAAGTCAACTAAAAAGTGGCCATACAATATATTTGACAACTTTATGCATAATACTATCTACATGTGACGTGGGGATATAATTTTTATGTGGAATGCGGCCAGTAGGCTGCCAGTTGCTCATCCATGTCCTAGCAGTTGAAAAAAATATCGTGTGAGGTTATAATTAACATGAGGAAAAAATGTGACAACTTTTCCTTCCATTTAACAGGGGAAGTGAATTCATTTACTCTTTTTTTGTAGTTAGGGCAATAGTCTAAGCTCCCAGACCCCAATTTCAGAGCCTCTGCTTCAGGGAAACATGAAGATTAAGTGACCGCAGTCTTGGATTCCATTAGCAGCGTAGGAGGAAATATGTGTATTTTGGTGAAAGTGAGACCCTGGAGAGCTGTGCTTGGGGGGAAAAAAAAAACGTCAGCAAAGCAGATGTACTGAGTTCAGCTCCATTTTGTGGCTGCAGATTGAGGCTGTCAGATGCAATTAAATTCTTCATCACTCATAGTTTGCCCATATTTGAAGTGATTGACTGTAGGACAACTGGTTCTCTAGGACCACCCTGGGTGGTCAACTGGTCTTCGGGGGAGGATTTAAAGATCCTTTGTCATTTACCCTAAACCTAACCCTTGACGCTGACACAAACCCTCATCCTCACATCAAGACCTGCCTTGTGTAGCTATATACCCTTGAAGAGTGCCACAAACCCGATTCATGCGTTCATGTGTGGCTTTTTTAAAAAATTTTACCCAAGTACAGAATTTGAATCAACACTTACCAGAGTCTTTTTTATTTTTTGTTCAACCCAAAACTCTGTACCTCTCGTTGAAGCACAGTGAGAGTATGAGAGTACCTGAGCAAATGGGCTGTGCCCCACTCCACGTCCCCCCGTGCTGACACGTGCGGGTGTGCTCCCCTTCGATGCGATGGCCGGGGGTGCAGGTGAAGTCACACCTGGAGTCCACCACGAAGCCCTGAGTGCATGTGTAGCTGCCGTGCGGAATGAGGGGCAACACGCTGCATCGCATCTCTGCAGAAAACATGAAGATCAGCTTGATACTGTGATGTCATGGTTGCGTCCATGCTACCGTTCCCTCCAAAAGGACTGGAATGGCAAGGTTGATTCCTTTGTTTTTATTGTACACTGAAGACATTTGAATTTTGGATAAAAAGATGTTATCAAACAAAAGTTCAAAATTCCAGGGTTTTTTTTTTTTATCCATCCATCCCTCCATTTTCTGATCCGCTTTAATCTCATGAGGGTCGCGGGGCGTGCTGCAGCCTTTCGGGCAGTAGGTGAGGGATACCCAGAATTGGTCGCGAGTCAAACGCAGGGCATACATAGACAAACATTTGCGCTCACACTCACACCTAGGGACAATTTAGAGTGTTCCATTAACCTGCCACACATGTTTTTGGAATGTGGGAGGAAACCAGAGTACCCGGAGAAAACCCACGCAGGCATAGGGAGAACATACAAACTCCAAAAAGGAAGGCAGAAAATGGATGGATATTCCCCACAGTGAATGAGGGGTTCACAGTACTAAACTGTGCTATTTTTTTAACAGGAACTCCCACTCACTGCGGCAGACGGCGGTCCCCGACCAGCGGCGGTTGGCGAGACACTGGATGGAGCTCCGGCCAATCAGGCGATAGCCTCGGTCGCAGCTCATGTTGCAGCGGGTGCCCTGGGTGGTCCGATACGCTCGGCCTCGTGGGGAGTGGCAGGTTATCTCCCCATTGACGAGACGTGGAGAACGACACCAATGAAGTTCTGGTGGGCAAGGGAAGACATCGCATCAGTTTTTTATTACCAATCACCCCTTTATTATAAATTGAAAAATAGTTTACAGGCTTCTGATTTTCAAACTAGTTGTGTGAGACCCAAAGGTATACGCTACAGTGTTTTTGAGGATTAGAGATGTGTGTGTGTGTGTGTGTGTGTGTGTGTGTGTGTGTGTGTGTGTGTGTGTGTGTGTGTGTGTGTGTGCGTGTGTGTGTGTGTGTGTGTGTGGCCCAAGTGAATGTATGCGTGCAGTATTTCCATACATACTGGTGTAGTCTGGAAGATCGTCATCTTCCTGGGCAACGTCATCGTAGCCGCCATCCTCTGTGGTCCCACGCACAGCTAGAACAAGGAAAGCAGAGACACATGGAAGAAAGGCTCTAACAAACTCCTCATGTAACTGAGTAGAGATGTTCCCAGAGCCAATAGGCTTCTTTGAGCATGCAGAGACGCTGTTGTTTATGTTATGATGATACCAAGGAATCTCAGCCACACAAGCTTCCTTTTGCAGAAGCTAACTTTCCAGCATTCACACACATGGAATTTCATGAAACAGATTGTGTTCGATTTTGAAAAGCACACTACACTCTTATGTGTTGTTTGTTGCAAAAGTATTTTGGCGAAATTCAATTCCTAATCAATAAATCACATAAAACACATCATCACAGAAAAGTGTTGTTCACATCCCTGCCAACATTTTGGAGTACAATTGCCTCCCCCAACAAATCATCAGAATGGACAAAATCTCTTCACTCAGACTACATGAGGTAAAGTGTGGCTGAGTAACTTGCTGGTCTCATCAAATAAAAGTTGATCGTTTGGAGTACAATTAATCCACTTTGTTGATTAAAATTTACTGTGAATATTTTTCTCTCTTCCAAGCGCAAATTTGACTGTTTAGACCGGGACCAAAGACTGTCTTTTTAGAGTAAAATATACTCTTATGAAATTTAGTGTGCACAAGCATGGGTATAACATGTAAACACGAGAAAGGAGGTCTTTCCCTGAACAAAGATTCAAACCTGACACTTTTTGACTGTAAGGCAGACATTCCGATCATGACTATCGTACACGGTGCTGCCAAATGCTTAACAAAGGCAGAGCTACATGGTGGCCAGGAGTGGCCGTGGCCACCCATGCACTCCTGGTCACTATCTGGCCACACCCCCTGGCAACCCCAACCTGGGGGAACATTTTGATACCTGTCAGTTTCCTGTCATTTTCACATGGATGCAGCATTATTAGACCCTCTGTTACTCTGCCACAATTCATTTAGAAACCCAATTCCAGTAAAGTCAGGACATTGTGTTAAACATAAACAGAATACAATGATTTGCAAAGCAGTGCATGAGTCAGAAGTAGACCATGAGATAGTACAGGAAAACAAAGCAACGGCAAATAAAATGGCATTATCAAGTAAAATAAGCTCACCAAACCATTGCTTTTTACTTCGACTTGATACTGCATGTATCATGAGTGTGTTGGGCAAGGTTTTGTATATTTGTGCATTTCATGAATCCTTGACTGGGCATGGAATGACAAACACCGACTTCTGAGTTACAGATGGGGTGAGCATGCATATGTAGACGCCGTGTATGTGAACATGTGCATTATAGACAATTCCTCATTGAGGTAATGTGTCATACTATTTCTGTTTTTTTATGTTAAAGCTACTATAAAGCGCTTTGTTACAGCTGCAGCAATTGCGAAAGTGCTACATAAATCAAGATGTATTGTTTTGTGGCCACCCCACTGTAAATTTTCTGGCTACAACCCTGTCAAAAAAAAAAAAAACCACACATTTCCACTTTCATTTATTTAAAATTCATCGGATAATTATTATTACCTCTGATATATTGGGGGATTCCAAATGCTGTTTTCCTAAAATGGGATGGAGTCTTAAAAATATTGACCACATTTGTATCTACTACAGATGTTACTACTAAAGACGGTCAATACATTTGACTGACTGAGAGACAATGTCAGACCATATTCACAGGCAAATTCTCCATTATTATCATTATAAGACCTTCACTGACTCACCTGTGAGATACAACAAGAACAAAAAGAGCACCGGGACACGGGTCATAGTCAAACCTCTGGTCGGTTAAAAAAAAAGGATGACACTACTGGGAGGGAAAAAGTAGTGCGCAGCTTCTCGTTGGCGTCCCAAGTCGGACTCTCACCAATGGCACACTCCACAAAACTTTGAAAAATGACACGACAACGACTTTTAAAATGCGCCTAGTGGTTTCACTCCAGTGGGAAATAAGAGTTTTTTGTCTTGTCTCAGCAGCGCTCAGCCCAATCGCTTCTCGCTTCAGTGGCGAGTATTAATCCACTAGGGGGCCCTGTTGTCTCTTGTCATTCAATGACGTTACGGCGCGTCGATTAAAGATAAAAAGTGATTTTTGGAATCATTAAAGTGTGATTTGCGGGTTAATGTTGAAATATACATGTTCACACAGCAATTTAATCAATTCTTAATTGTTATTCGAGCGATTATCTGACAGTCAAATCACAGAAACTAGCGAACACCCAACAGGGAGTGTGGCAACCTTCAGAATAAAGTCGTGAAATGTTTTCTCATTAACGTTTGTTGCATTATTTTAATTAATAATATTGCTGAATCGATATTAGAATTTTTTTATTTTGAGTTTTCAAAGGACACCCTTGATTTAATGCATAATTAAAAGATCAAGGGTGTTGAATGTGCCCTTTAAGTCGTCACCCACTTAATTTTGACAGAACCGCCGGAGAAAAAAGGTTGAAAGTTGACGGCTAATTTGGCACTGCCCTGAAGTAAAACACCAGAGGTTTTTACGCCTTCGGCATAAAACATTCTATTGCTGCAGATGTACAGTATTTCAAATTAATTTGTCTGAATTTCTTTCAGAGCACTTATTATTTTCAAATCAGTCTCTAAATAGACACGGTAAATTATATTTAGATGGTTCAAATTTGCCATGTTTCGCATAAAATGAGTTTATTATGGAAGCGGTGTTGCTGAGGAATAAGTTTAAATATACTAGTTAACTTGATTTTTTTCCTTTTTTTTTTTTTTTACAACTGTTGATTCCGTCGGGAAAAGTAATCTGGCCGGCGATGACGTCACTTCCCTATTGAGCTTGCAGAGAACGTATCCCCCCCCACCAACTTTTTCTTCTCTTCGGGGCTGCTTTGAAGTGATCTTTTGTCTTTCTTTTTACTTCACAGTCACATAAAAGAAGCCAAACATGTCGCCGCCCTCACGTCGGCTTCAAACGAAACCGGTCATCACCTGCCTGAAGACTTTCCTCATCTCCTACAGTCTGATTTTCTGGGTGAGCTGCGACCATGTCGATGTGGAGGAAAGGGGGTTGGGGGAGTTTACAGGACAACAAGCTAACAGCAACAACGGGCTACAAGGATGCGAACAAGCGCAAATCAAAACAAGAACTTTTGTCGTTATAAAGTCATGAAATGAAGTAAAGTTTTATGTAATGCTAGTTCCAAAACTACGATGATTTTGTTTCCGTTACTTGAGAGCACAGGCGCCGGCGATTTATCTAAGATAAGATTTAAAACCCGATGACGTCACTGGTTACGCACACGATATAAGTACTGTTGCTCTATTTATCTTCAAAGAAAGAAAATGCTTTTTTTATGTCTAATATCAAAAGACATTCATGTTTATTGTGGCACCACAAGTACAAAAGATAAGGCAAAATAATAAAACGAAACAAGCCATTGCAGGATTTATGTTAATCACAGTGATTGATAAAAGTCACAGTGATTGATCAAAGAGACTCGAGCACTGGTTCTTGACCATGTCAGTGGTACCGAACCCTGCGGGTTTGCACATTCACGGGGGCCTTCGTTATTTGAAAAATGTCAAATTCATATTTAACCCCCCCAAAAAACGCATATTGAAAAATTACACTTTTGACTCCCTGACTTGTTTTTCTCCACACGCGTTTGGGAGAATTTTGTTACATTGTTGAAGTTAACGTTTTTAAAAAACTGCAGGTCAAAGTGTTTAGTAAGTTAACTCCAATTTTAGCTACTCTTTCATATAAATGTATGGTTCATCTGCCTTTATTTTAGTGACATCTTAACCTATAAAACCAAAACATATCTAAGTCTGGTACGATTGTATTTTGTAATCCGAAACACTAAACAGCCTTTGATGACACCCCAGTTGGGAGTTTACTGTAAAACTAAACAATAAAAAGAATTACACACATGATTTATTTAAATACAAAACATCCTTAGTAGGTGATGACCTCCTGAGTTATGCACACACTTGAGCTTTTGCTGTGTTTGGTCCTTTATTAAGAATTAAAAAGAATACGTTTAGTAGACCAATCACATGACGACCACTCCATTACAGTTGAAAACACTCCTACACCTTATATAATTCGTCCAAAAAAAAGGATTATGTTGACATTAGTAGCAGAAAAGTTTAAAACAATTGAAAGGAAGTTGTTAGTGTACTATTTTTACTTAAATGTGTGAACAAAATAGCAGATATCAATCATAATGTTCGGAGCACTACTTGCATATCACACTTATACTCACTCAAAGATAATGATTGCTGTTTCTGCTGGTTTTATCTGTGTGTCAGCCAAAGTTCACAAAAACGCTTTCTGTTGTCATTTTTATGACCGTTGGTGGCAGTGGTGCAACCCCCCTTTCCACCATTGCCACCGCCAAAATACGCACACAGTCACGTGCGCACATGCATACCTCAAAGAAAGTAATGCCTGGACATTTAAAAGACAACAATGAAACCTCTGCCTCAAATTGAGTTGGAAGCACATAATAGTCAAAAATGAATCCGTTTGGAAGTGTGTCTCGATACAGTAGCTCTATGTTTATCCACCTGCAACTGGTTAAAATCTCAGATTTACAGAAAACAGATAAAAGGTTTGTAGTTTTACCCCTACCACCCTTTCAACACTTAAGATGATTGAAACATGCTTAAAACGGTTGAAAGCAAACTTTTTCAAAGCCGTGTGATCATCAAATCTTTCCATGTAAGAAATACAGAAAATACTGTACTTAATGACAGCCTGTATGTTAGCTATGTACCGTATCTTTGAGAGGCGAGGCCTGGTGGGGTGTCGTTTGACATCTGAGCATGAGCTCTGGCCTACAGCAGTTCTGCAAGAGTTTTCCCATTTTGTATTTGCATGTTTGACTGTTTGTCACGTGAGGAAATGTATCTGTACTCATATTCGGACAAATGCTCCGAGAGTAAAACACTTCTAGGGAAACATGGAGGAAAACACTGTTTGCAAATTCCGCTCTATAAAATGGATGAACTCTGCAAATAAATTGCAAGATGTAAAGGCATTAGCAAATATCGGGTCTTGGCATCAGCATGTACTCAAATGTAAGTACTTGTACTCGGTCTGGTATCAGGGGCATCCCTTGTGTGTCATAATTGGCTGCTGCTCCTCAGTTCACAGGCATGATCCTGTTAGCAGTGGGCGTGTGGGGGAAAGTCAGCCTGGAGGCGTACATCACACTGGCTTCCAATGAGACCACAAACGCGCCGTACGTCCTCATCGGCACCGGCGCCGCCATCATCATATTTGGGCTTTTTGGCTGCTTCGCCACCTGCCGCGGCAGCCCGTGGATGCTCAAACTGGTCAGCGGAGAGGGAGCTACGCCCCATCCTCCAAACTTCAAACCAAAATACCCACAATGCTTTGAATGATCTACACAATGTTGTTTTATACTTTCTCTTTTTGGACAGTACGCCATGTTCTTAAGCGTGGTCTTCCTGGCCGAGCTAGTGGCTGGAATATCAGGCTTCGTCTTCAGGCATGAAGTGAGTTCTCGGTGGCATAGGCGTGATGTGAAATGAAGTAGAAGACAAGAATGCGATCACTTTTTTTGTGTGTGTTTGGACTTTTGCAGATAAAAGAAAAATTAGGCACCGCATACCAAAACGCAGTCAAGTCCTACAACAGCACAGAGAGCAGCAGAACCGCAGTGGACGCCATCCAGAGGACTGTGAGTAGTAGTCCTATTTTCTTGAATCGGGCCGGCCGAGCATTTTCATGATCAAGATTCCTGTCATATTTGTTGGTTGTTACAGCCGTTTTGTGCCTCAAATTGACTTATTTTTTCCATTCAATGCAATTGAATTCTGATTTTATTCTTGGAAAACGACTTACATATTGTGAATCCACATTTTCAATAGTTTTTAAGTTTAATTTTTACTTCATAATAATTAATTTTAAACAATACAAGTAAAAATGCTAATGAATTATTTTGTTACTGAAGTAAGCACAGTTTCACTATTTTGTAAATAAATTGATGACAATTATATCAGTTGTATTAGGGCTCGGGAAAAGTCTAATCACTACAAGTCAATCACAAATAAAGGTTGAAACCAAATGTTTGCCTCTGTGTTTCGCTGGCATGTCATTTTGTCTTGTCCAGGGAAACCAAGGCAACAAAAGTCTTTGTAAAATGATGAGATTTATTTCAGCTACAACAAATATGGAGAAACACCATTGACACATCTGTGATGGAGCCTCCTTCGAGCACTCCGGTGCTCCCTCCCCTTTTATCCCATTTTTCACTTCTGTCACTATTGTGGACAGCTGCACTTACAGATAACAGGATGAGTGAAGTCTGGCGAACGAGCAAGCAACTTTGCCTATCTGCAGATAACATGGTCAGCACTCACAATAGCACAAACAGTTAGTTATAAGATACACTTTAGCACTGTTAAATGTCAAATTTCCATTACAATGTCACCACAGATGCATGTGTCATGGATTCCACTGTACAAGCTCCTCTTGACCGTTGCACGGTCTGTCAGCATTCTCTATTGGTGGAAAATTGCTACTGCAGTCTCTTGAGCATAAATGTTCACCCACCCTTGCTGGTGACATAGCTACCACATGACCTCAAAGAGGTGTCCGTCCTTCGAATAGACGACCTGCCCAAATTTGTTTCTGTCAAGAAAAATAAAAGCCCACCCCCACCTCCTCAAATAAATGCTCCTTTGAGGAACAAAACAGTTATTAAATGGATAATAACCGTAATGCCCATGTACTCGTGTTGTTGGTTTGGTCACATATAGTTGCAATGCTGTGGCGTGAAAAACTACACGGACTGGGCCGAAACGGACTACTTCAAATACCAGGGCATCCCCGCCAGTTGCTGCAAAGTCAACACCAACTGCCCTCCAGACACCCTCAAGGACCTGAACAGGGCTAAAAATGAAGTGTACAACACTGTGAGTTGCCACTTTCGTCAAATCGTGTCGTCATTTTAGTCCATCCAACGAAGGGCTGAGCGCTTAAATACATTGTATTTTATTGACTGCCGTGCAAAAATACTCTGCATCCCCTCACCAGCCTGTGGAACCTCACTCCATTCACTTTCTGTCATTTTGTGCAGTAGTTAGTCGATGTTCGACACTGCAATATCTCGGGGTGTTGCTCTCAGGATTTTAAGCTGTGGGAACTGATCATCCATGAGGGTTAAGTCGGCCTATATCAATCCCAATCACGTGAATTCGATGTGTAAAATTCAAATAATCATTAACTTTCTTGAATTGATCAGACATTCGCAAGCAAAGCGGCAAGGTTCATTCACCTCTTTGTAAATAATTTCCTGAAAAATGTGTCAAACAGTTCCGGGACAATTACCTCAACATACAGTTGCGAGGAATTTAGGGATTTCATTATCTATGGTCCATAACATCATCAAAAGGCTCAGCGAATCTGGAAGAAATCACTGCATATAAGCATCAAGGTCGAAAACCAACGGTGAATGCCCGTGACCTTTGATCCTTCAGATGGCACTGCATCAAAAACCAACATCGCTGTGTAAAGGATCTCACCACATGGGCTCAGGAACACTTCAGAAACCCAATGTCAGTCAATACAGGTCAGCGCTATATTCCTAAGCGCAATTTAAAATTGTACTATGCAAAGCAAAGGCCATTTATCAGCAACACCCAAAAACGCCGTCGGCTTCTCTTGGCCCAAACTCATCCAAGACGGACTGATGCAAAGTGCAAAAGTGTTGCGTGGTCTGACGAGTCAACATTTCAAATTCTTTTTGGAAATTGTGGACGTTGCATCCCCCGGGCCAAAGAGGAACAGAACCATCTGGACTGTTCTGGACGCAAAGTCCAAAAGCTAGCGTCTGTGATGGTACAAGGTTGTGTTAGTGCCAAGGGCGTGGCTAACATACACACCCGTGAAGGCACCAATAATGCTGAAAGGTTCATACAGGTTTTGCTTTGCTTGTGAATGACTGCGCAATTCAGGGAAACTCCTTTTAAAAAACAATCATGTCACCCACCTTTTCCCAGTAAGCCTGTTCACCAGTGGGATGTTTTCTGCACCTGTCGGATAAACAGTCCTCAACTTTCTCAGTCGTGCCACCTGTCGCAGCTTTTTGGGAATATGTTGCAGCCATAAAATTCTCAGTTAATCATTACCTGCGAAAAATAAATAAAGTTCATCAGTTTGATCATGAAATAGCTTGTCTTTGTAGTGTATTCAATTAAATATAGGTTGAAAATGATTTGGAAACAATTATATTGTGTTTTTATTTGTGCTTCACACAGCATCCCAACATCAGTGAAAATGGGTTTGGACATTTACATGGTTCCACAGTAATTTTGGCCCACTGAGGGAAACAAAAACTACAGTGTGGTCCGTGACAAAAATGAGTCTTGACACCCACTGGTGTGAAAATGAACCGGACAACTGACTTGTGACCCACAATCTCAAGACCTTAGTAATGTTGGATAATTACTTGAATTGAATGAAAATTGATAAAAGTCCTATGTTGCAGGGTTGCTTCTCGCTGGTGACTAATGTGATGGAGTCCAACCTCGATATCATTGCGGGGATCTCCTTTGGAATCGCCTTCTTTCAGGTACTTGCTCGTGATAGGTCGCAACACCCCACTAAATAAATACAGTGGTATCTTGACTTACGGGTGCCCCGGTTTTTCCAGCTATGAGCCGTTGTTTGATGGAATTTTTAATTACTTGTTTGAAATGTGTGTCGTGAGCCAAAATTTGAGTTTCGGCTGAACTTAAACCATGCTGCCACTCGAATGAAGTTGAAAGAATAACATGGAACAATTAAGATACTGTAATGCCCTTGGATGTGGGAAAGGAGAGCCACATTCGCCGATGTACTTGCAGCCCTTTTTTTGGACTTTACTGACTACCAGCATTGTAATTCATTTCAAGGAGGAAATCTTTTTTGATTGATGGATCAAACTCGTAAGTCAAGGTCCCGCTGCATATAATGGTCAGAGAGGTACACATTTGTTCGACTAAAATATCAGAACACATGTGATTCCGCATGCTTTGAATGTTTATTATTGTGCTCAGCTCATTGGGGTATTCCTGGCCTGCTGCTTGTCTCGATACATAACCAACAACCAGTACGAAATGGTGTAAGAGGGCCGCTGCTTCATGCAGGTAAAAAGGGCTCCCGATTGCATCCAGTTTCAGCAAATCCAATCAAAAATGTTTCAGCACTTTTTGTATGTCTTTCCAGGTGACTTGGCATGCCTCTCCCACCCTAAAGGACTGACCCTCCTGTGATTTTTAAACAAAAAACTTTTTAGAGAAAACAAACAACCTTTTTGTTTTTTGTTTTTTTTCCGCTCACGTGACACGGCAGAGGAGCAGAAGGGAATAACCCAAAGGGAGTTTGAGAGGAAAGTGCAGTTTGATCCAAACATTTCAACATGTTTTTTTTTCTTACAGTAATAGTAAATGTTCAGCCTAGACGTCATTGTGTCAATGTTATCACTTTATTTTTGTGTCTTTGTTTCTCGCGGAAAAGTAGTGCCTTGCTTTATTTTGTAATTTGTACAGCTAAAATGACAAACTGACAAGGGATTGTGCGTGAGGTTATTTGTGAGGGGAAATGGCGTACGTAAAGTGCCAACAACAATAACCCACATTTTCATATTAAAGTCATCAGTGTTTTATTGCTTTTCCTCTGTGGATGCATGTAAAGTATTGAAGGGGAAAAAACATAATAAAAGGTGAATTCACATAACTTGTGTGTCCTCGACATGTTTTACATTAATCAGAAAAAAAAAAATTCAAATTCTTTGTCCTCATTGACCGGCGTTCTGGAGGCCTGATTACAATCGCTTCACCCCAGAGTGGCTACATCTCAAAAAGCTTGGCTGCCATTTGCATCTTTCCTAAAACAATGATGCAGTACTGTACTGTATTTCCAGATCTCATGTGACCATGCACGAACATCATACAGATTAACAAAGTGACTTCCTGTGGCAGTATTACAGTGCTTGGTTGCGAATGTGTTCCATTTAAAAGAATCACCTGAATACAGTTAGATTGTTTCTTTTATGGCAGAATAACGAACACTGTACTAAATTTCCCCCATGGATACCATTGTGTGAGTGGATCAAAAATACCCTTGTACAAACTTCAATGATACACTTAATCATTGTTCGTTGTAAACTTCAATTGCTCAGATATGGTGGATGTTATCAACTCAACTCATGGTCCAAACCATGAGGTGCAATAAAAAAGGTTTCAATACAAAGGCTGTATCACAATGTTTGGCTTTGCAAATGTTAAATGATAAACCTATTGGTCCATTAGTATCTATGCACAATATCAGTAAAATATGAGCTTAACTATCTTTGTAACGGCAAAAATATTTTCAATACAATCTTTGTATTGTTGCCAAAAGACGTGTCTGGTGACTTTTGGTTTCAAGTTGAGCATTTAGACGTAGGATGAAGTTATCGCTGTGATTTAAGATCATATTTTGCAATGCACTGTTCCAGACAACTTGAGGTACAATTGCATGTGTTCCAATATTGTCCAAGAGATGTATTTCATTTTCGACCGTCACAAAGGCTGTTTTTATTCCATTCTAACTTGTTGGGGTGAGCTGATTCTGATTTAGTAGTTGAATAAATAGACAATGCTCTCAGGACGATGCATTGCAATTCAACAACGCTGCAAACTACAACCAAAAAAAAAAAAGCATGTTTAATGAATACCACTAATCATGGGCGTTGATTTGATGAGGGGAACGGAAAGACATTCTGAGTGGGCCCCCCTGAAAGAAAAATAACGTTATTTGAAACATCATTTTTAAAGTGACAATCAAGTTCATAATTATTATTAATTATTATTATTATTAGTAGTAGTAGTATTGTTGTATTAGTCACATCGGAAACGTTTTGCTTTTTTTTGTTGAGTCTGATGACATTTGATGACGTCCTGACCCATCGTCACGTTTGAAAGTCAGTTGTGTCGACAACGTACACTAACTGAAATGTAATGTAATGTACTGTGTGAGAACATAACACACGAAACGGCTCATATTTTGGGGAAAGATCAAGGAATTTCAGATCACTTAATTTAAACGTGACAGCGTTTTTGAAACGTCAAAAGGATGAGCGATGAACCAAACACTGGGTGGCGCTCGCGGCCTACAAAAGTTAGCTGTGAGACGTAACGTTTTAAAGCGATAGTGGGCAACTATATTCTGTGGACACATTGTGTGACAAAGAGCCGTCGTCGGGCCAGAGTATGAATAATTAAAATAATGATTTCAAAAATAAAATAAAAATATGTATGTGCCGGTTGTTAGCTTCGACGTTCCATGTTCAAAGATGCTGACGACGAATTGCGCTGCTGAAAGACCTTTTGATTGACACGAGTCTGGTGACTCACGATTGGTTTAAACTAGATCATACGCTCTCAAGGCCCGCCCTTATCCGCCTCCCCGGTCAATGGGATCAGCGCAAACGAACGGGTGGGCGGGATTTGGCTCGCCGCACCGCAACTCGCCGGCTGTGAGGCATATAAAAGGAATTCAGGCATTTCTCAGACAAGGAAATTTTTCCGTTTCCTTCACGACTGGTGGTTACCGGAGCTCCCCAAATTAAGGACTTGGGATATATTTCTACCAGTGTCCCAACAGGCAGTCAATCAAGCTTTCACAAAATTCAGGTAAGTTCTTTTTTTTTTCCAGGTCGAATCATTCACCCTTAGTTTGTTTGATGCAGGAAGTCAAGGTCATACTACACATTAAAAATGGATTGATCTCAGTGTATAGTTGAAAGTAAAAATGAAAATACATCGACTGTTTAGGCCATCTGATCAATATTTGACACCTCCCTTGCAGCTCCAGCCTTAACGCCACCTGCCAGCCACACTGTGTAACCAAGCCCCGGAAGCCTTCAGCCATGATGCAGATCAGCAGCGACTCGGCCGCCAACAAGCACTCCCTCCTTAACGTCATGCACCGCTTCATCGCGGCGGCCAATAACATGGACGAGACCATCATGGTGCCGAGCCTTCTGCGAGACATGCCCCTGGAGGAGCAGGCGGCCAGCCAGACGGAACCCAACAACAACAACAACAACTACAATAACCACCACCCCGATCATGACGATGTGCAGTGTCCCAGCAAGCAGCAGAGGGACATGTACGAGCACTACCTGCTCCTCAAGTCTATAAAGAATGACATGGAGTGGGGTCTGCTCAAGCGGGAGATGAGCAGCGGTGCCAGCTTTCTCGAGATGGCTGTCAAGCAGGAGGAACAGCAGCAGAAGACCATCCCGGGGGCGCTGCCCCTGGACGACAACGCCGACCTGGAGCGCCAGTTTCACTTTCATCTGCGCGGACTCTTTGGTGTTCTGTCCAAACTCACCTTGCAGGCAGACCACCTCACCAACCGATACAAGCGAGAGATCGGTGGTGGAAACTTTATGAGATAGAAAGCACCTTTTTTTTTCTCCTTGTCCTGCTCCTCATAGCCTTTCTTCCTCCTCCCTCGGGACTGCTTGACGTGATGGGAAATGTCACGGGAATTCTCTTGGCAACGGAGCGGGGCCGTCAGCACTCCATGTCCTCCCCGTCTCCCTCCCTCCCTTCCTCCCGACATAAACCGGTGACGCCTGCGGCACGTTGTCGTCCTGCCTAAGGAGGACTCCCATTTTGAGTGCTTGGTGGAGGTTTAACTGTCCTGATGAAGCACAGCAGATCTGCTTTGTGCCCACTGCAGATTCCCCCATGAATTTATGTGCGAATAAAAGGTTTGACTGTAGGAGAAATTGAATGCTGGTTATTCTGTCCCTCCTTTTTTTTTTTTTTGTAATTTAATTTTAAAATATGTTACTGCTGAGCTTGAAGGGCTCCCTTCACTTCAGTGTGACTGCAACTTGGCGTGCCTTGACTGTTTTGGGCCCTGTTAATTTGCATCCCTTTTGTCTAATTGCTCAAATGCTTCGACAAGGTCTTACAGCTCATCTTATTTGTCCTCAAATGTATTTTATATTGTGCAATTGAATAAATAAATAATTGTGACCTTTTTATGTGGGCTTGTTTTTCTTTCTCTTCAAAGACAAATTTCACCGTGGTTCTCAAAAGTGCAGTGGTAGCTACATGGGTCTCAAAAGTTAAGTGTGGCTTTTTTTCTACAATTCTATTCAATTGTGTGCAACACATTTTAATCAAAAAAGGTTTCTATGTATCTCTACTTATGCACAGTGTTACTGTTCAAACTGTGTCATGCTAAAGCGGCTTACAATACCTTTTAAATACACTTAATACCAGTATGAGGGTGTAGAAGAACTAAATGTATTCAATAACATTTAGACATAGGAGGCGCCTGAATTTTAATGTCATAATGGTGGTACTTGGACAGCCATTTTTTTAAACCGTCTGTAAAATGTTTACAAACTACTGCATTGAACTGAACAAGTGCTTACAAGGTGTGCAATGTGGGGCAGGTAGAGCAGCTTTGTGTGGCGCTCATCGGGGGGATTTACCAGGGATTTACAAACAGGAAAGGATTCCTCTTAATTTAGCACGCTGACTTAACGCGACTGGCTAGTTGCCTTGGAAGTGGAGGATCTTGGACTCTTCATTAGGTACACCTGACCAATGTTGACTTCAAAGTCAATGCCGGTCAGTTTTAAGCAGGAGAAGGGAACTCCGGTTCCACGAGAGCAATATCCTGCCTGTTTTCGATCCCTCCCTACTCCAACACACTTGATTCAAATAAACAGTTCATCAGCAGGCCTGAAATGATCATGAACAGCTGAATCAGGTGTGCTGGGAGTAGGAAGGGATCTAAAACGGTCAGGATATGGCTCTCGAGGAAACAGAGTTTCCTACCCCTGCTAGGATATGCCATTTATAGTTGGAAATATAAATTTGGATTAATACGCTTGATCACTTTGAACAATTACAATCTACATGATAAGGTACAACAAAAAGTTGAATTCTCCATCCATTTTCAGGACCGTTTAGCCTCACATACTTTTTAAAAGCATGAATGAATTCGCCTCAGTGAGGACTGAGCTTTTAAAGATAAGACAGGAAATTTTGATTGCAGTGGTTATTGATCGGGGTCAGAATGTTGAATAATCGGCTTTTTTTTTTTTGTGATGTCTGACGCTTTGGGATTATTCAACATGTTCAACTGGGTTGAATTGACATTACTGGCACACAGTGGCGGACCCTGAGGGCCAGCAAGGCCTTCTCTGCTGGCCTAAACATTCTCATAAAAGTAAATTTACTTTTATGTATTTTATGTTATTTTATAATTTATGTTATTTATTTTCATAAATATGTAAACAAAATTATTATATATATTAATAATAATAATATATTAATAATATATGGAAATAATAATATAT